ACAATCAAAATAGACAAATACAAGTATATAGGTAGGTACACATATTACATGGCAGGTACCAACATGTTTTCTTTTTCCATCAACAGTTTCCCGCATAGTACATACATACGTTTGATAAGCGTATCTTGGTAACAAATCGCCGCCTTATCACTAGCTAACAATTAACTGAATTAACAGCCGTAGGCCTGACGCAACAACCTATTGGTGTACGACTACTAGTACTACAATGATTACACTACTTTTGTAGTTCCCATTATTAGATTAGCTATAGTTACGTGAATAGAATGTGATGCGTAGATGGCCTACGTATAGTATACTTTCTCATCTCAGATCTTAATTACTCACTTCTGAAAGTTAAGTAGTATGAATCAAAAGTGTGCGAGAGCGATGCTTAGGCACGAATGGGCCGGCTGTACCGGAGTGATACCACGGCCTTACAGAAAACCGCCGTGAAACAACGGTTGCGTTGCGTTTCGTCGTGTGAGTACCTCTCCCTTCCCAAATCTCCCCATTCGCTTAATCCCCATCAACCCCCAACAATCCTCAAATTCCTAATCCCCAAATCCCAAAAGGCCGGTAATGCACTTGTAACGCCTCTGGTGTTACGGGTGTTCATGAGTGACGCGACGCCGATGGCTTACCATCAGATGATCCATCTGCTCGTTTACCGGCTTATTTCATAAAAAGGTTAGAAATGTTCTGTGTTTAAGATTTTCTTATTGGCAAGGAAAATATGTACATGATATAATACCCCAATCCTCTATGGAAAACATTACCCAATACTACCCATTAATAAATAACACCCAAAGCTTTACATAAAGATCTACATAAATAATGTTTAACATAACATAACATCACAACTTTTATACCCGAAGGGGTAGGCAGAGATGCACATAATGCCACTGTACAATGTAACACCCTCTTTTCACTATTTCTGTTATGAGTCCCATGTAACAGGGGGAGCCTATTGCCATATACCGGGCACAATTCCAGACTCCGTGCTACTACTGAGAATTTTTGAGTAATACTTTGCCCGACCCGGGAATCGAACCCGAGACCCCTTGCCCGGCAGTCGCACTTGCAACCACTCGGACAACGAGGCAGAGAGCAAAATAATGTTTACTTACATTTAGAAACAAACAATTCTAAAAATGACTCTTCCATGGTTCTTTTAGTCACCAAACCGGTTAATTTGAATGATCTCATTTACCTCTACAGTGGACAATAACAGAATTACACTTTTTTGTGTAGGTACTAGTAAACGTTATTTCGGGTGAATGCTACAGTATACACTGTATACTATCTAAGTAGTGACTGGTAAGTACTGTCAAAATGTCGCAACTGGCAGTTTTTTACAGTATGTCGCAAGCAACGAACCGTGAATGGTTTGGTGCCCGATCGGACAATATTATTTTGTGTTAGCTGTTAACTCAGAAAATGTGTTTCGTGAATTTAACTTCAGTGGTTGAAAGATGTGAGTTTGTGTTTGTATTTGATTTTTTGAAGTGTAATTTGATTGTGTGAAAGGTTTGCAATGAAATATGCCATTGTAGTGTTGTAACTTTTAAAAAAATTAAAGGTAGCCAAAGAAGAAAAAAAAAAGTTAAAGTGTGTGCGTGTGTGTGTGATGTCCTACGTCTTCTCACGTATTTCTTAAAGGTTTTGTAGTGAATTATTGCAACTGGATACCCAAAAATATTTTATTATAATTATTATATTAACTCCAAAATTACGTCTTTACAAATATTTTTGTACATACCCAAGTTTAAAATCTAGACGTTTCAGCAATAAAATATATTTATAACAAATAGTTTAGGTTAACAGTTAATTTATCGATTTAGAATGTTTTAACTCGACCTTAGTTTCAGTTGGAACTGAGTAATTAAACTAAATTAATTGGACAATAAAATTGTTCTGTATACACGCGTGCGTTCCAAATAAATAACAAACATTTGAAGGCCTCTACTTACCCCGCTAACAGGGCGGAATTTTTTAAATAATATGGTTTATGAACATATATTTGGTGTTCTTCTACATAGCTGACTATGTTTTAATTCAACATAAACTTCTGAGCGATTTAGACGTGAAAAGAAAGTCTCGCATTTCGCTAGCTTCTGAAAGCAGTTTCGCCCGCAATACTAGGATAAAAAGCAGTGTTATTTTAGATTAGTGATCTATTTCTATTTACAGTTTATTATTGGGTTTATTATTAAGCTTGATTGGGTCAAACATTCACCTACCATAAAACAAAGTTCACCATCCTGTCTTTCCGCGATAATCTCAAAAACTACCGAACCAATATTCATGCAGTTTTCACCAGTGCATGCAGTGGTTATTGAGAAAGAACTGCGTGTGTATTTTATGAAGATTTTAGTGCAGCAGGAAACATAGTAATCAAAGTGTCAACGTATAAAGATAACATGTCTTAATTAATTAAAAAAAATACACGTGAATATCAAACAGTGGCATCAACTATCTAAACGTTTATCATAAACAAATATGGAACCGTTATTTAATAACAGTTGCCTTGGTGTAACGTATTACAACACTTAACTTATAGATTTAGTATAATTTACTTTATTTTCTAACGTTATTTTAATAGTTTTTTTGGTAATTTGTGACATTTTGTGTTCATGTGTGGTTAATAAGTAAATGGATGATGGGAATCGTGCCCAAACCATGGACGAGGTACTTACATACCATTTTTTTTTTTGTTTAAAAGCGTAGTCATTGGGTTTCTCAATTTCCATCATCATCTGCGTCCCATCAATCAAAAGGTGTCCATTGCCGAACATAAAGATAATTCATTTGCATAAACATGTGTACTTTGTTTAATATCCTAGGCCCTCACCAATCAATGACTAATCAGTTAGTTTATTACTTATCATTTTTATCAATCCTCAGTGTTTATGATATCCTCAATTTTTTTAAGTCAGTTAATATAATAAGTATGTATTATATGTATGCGTCATTCCCTAATTAAAATTGTAATCAAGTTAAGTGAATTTTATGATTCTGTCCTCGCCATGTCCTCTTTCCGAAAAGGTCAATGTTTCCCCAAATATTAGTTTGGTGTACAAATATTTGCCACTAAATGTTTGTCCGTTTGTTTATTTGGGAGAGTACCCTTTTATTGGATAGACATATTGGTTGCATGTTGGTTGTGCAACACGAAATGGAATATAATAATTTTGTTTTTGTCTATTACAATCTAGAAATGGTAGAAATGTACGTTCAAGTGTAGGAGTAAAATTGAATGATTAAATAATCCAATAAAGTTTGTAATTAGCTACAGAAAAAGTTATATAACAGTGATAGTAATGAACTAATAGTGTAGTATTAACACATAGAAAACACAATGTATTTAAAAAAATACTCCCGGCCCTAGCATCACTAGTGTGTATTGAAAATTATTTAACTTGTAAGTAATAAAATACTGGTGCGTTACAGGAGCGTGTCCCGGTCGCCTTCCCCCTCCCCTTCAACCCGGGACTCCCGGAACACAGACAGTGCCAGCGAAGCCCTCGACAATGACAAGGTATGTGTACTGTCCTGACATGATGATAGGACTATCAACTTTATTGGTATGATTTTGTAGGCTGGTTAGTTCAGAACTGAAATGATAGAATTCGGTCGCAAATTAGGATAGGATTTTTCACTATCGCATAAGTATAAAATATATATAAATGACTGCCTCGTTGGCGGAGTGGTCGCAAGTGCGGCTGCCGGGCAAAGGGTCTCGAGTTCGATTACCGGGTAGAGCAAAATATTACGGGGGTTTTAAAAAAAAATCTTAGTAGTAGCACGGAGTCTGGAAATGTGCCCGGTATATGGCAATAGGCGCACCCCCTATTACATGAGACTCATAACATAAATAGGGAAAATTAGGTGTTACTTCTGTGTGCACCTCTGCCTACCCCTTCGGAGATAAAAGGCGTGATGGTATATTATAAAATGTATGCCAAAATGTGTCGTAATTGTTGTCAAAGTTTCTAGTCGACTAGAAAACAGAATATCCGGCTAACTGCATGCCTAAGTTTTAAATCAGATCCAACAAGAGTTTGGTATTTTTCATATTATATCAACTGTTTAATGGCACTTTAAACCTTAATTTGGAGTGTAATAAGGTATAGTTTCAATAAATCAATAATATCGACAATAATATCAAAGCTCAATAATACCAATAGACAAGGAAGTACAACTGGCATTGAACGCAGCAGTGTTTGTGTTGCAGACGAGCGAGAGTTCGGTGCACATGCCGTCGCACGCGGGCGGCGACTCCGCCTCCATCTCCAGCGGCGAGCTCGCCGTCACCGTCGTCAGCGCCACGCCCACTCAGAACAAGGACAACCCCAGGGTGAGACCTGACATCTGTACAGTAATATAACATTATATACGTCGTCCCATGAAAGGTACTATAAAGTGGTTACTGAAGACCCATTTTATATTTTGCTAAAAACTTTACTGTTTTGTTGACCGCATAGTCACAAGCGCCTAATGACACATGAATTATTTTTCTTTCTTTCACTTTATGTGTTAAATTCTCGGGTTCGAATCTCGGATAAAACAAAGAAAAGTTAGCATTTTCAGTTTTCTAAAATTCGTCATAAATGTATTGATAAAGGCTCAGCCTCATTAAAACAAAACTCATAAGAAAATTGATGAGTAGTTGCTACATTCAAAATATGTGTTTTTCCTAAATTGCCTACCCAACTTGTCCTCTATCCTCGTTATTGCCGTGTCCTGATTATCAAACCTAACATTTCATTAATACCAAAGTGATAAGCGGGTTTCCAATACCCATTCCCTCGTTACCGAGTCCCACCTTGTTATGTAAATAATTGATACTTACCCGTCAGCTGTCGAACGCTGCGAAGGCCGGGGACGGCAGCCGCACAAAGAAGAAGAGCTGGTACAACGCCCTCTATCCCACATACAAGAGCAAGTCCGATGACTTCAAGCGGCTGTTCAAGGACCTACCTGATGATGAGCGGCTTATAGTCGGTTAGTAATGATATTCACACAAAGATTTTTTTAATTACTTTGCGGTTCTTGTTTTTGTGTTTTTTTTTTTCAAGTACACAAACAATAAATGCTTGGTGCTAAACATTTTGTTTGGATGCAGAATAAATTTAGTGCTTATCATTAAACACTTAAAGTAGCGACATCTAGGGAGTTGAATAAGAATTAAACAATTAGCTAAATTAGTTATGCTTCGCGTGAGTTACCTAATATTACATATACGTGGTATGAAAGTTTGTTTGTTGCAGTACTCTTCTGCGCCTAAAAGTATTTCATTATTTTGATAAATTGCTCTATAGTATCTCTATAAGTACAAATGATCCTGGAGACTATGATATGCTTAGCGATAATAAGACTCAAGTTTTATTATAGTAAGAAATCAATAAATACACCTATTTTTACCATAAGGGAATCTCCTCAGATTCCCTTATATCTCGTATATCCCTATATCTCCTCAAATAGCCCTCGCTAATGCTAATATTATAATTCTGAAGTGCATATGTCTGTTTATTTGCTTGCTACCTGTTTACGCGTTATCTACATACTTAACCTTCTGATCAGGCAGAGACACGGGTAAAAACTAAAGCTAAAGTTCTACTACTATAATTAGCGTATAATGATTCAAACAAGACGTGCTAAAATGTATATTTTCGTGTTTCCGTGCAGACTATTCATGCGCGCTGCAGAAGGACATCCTAGCGCACGGTCGTCTGTACGCGTCGCAGAACTACCTGTGCTTCTACGCCAGCATCTTCGGCTGGGAGACCACCATGACCACGCGGTGGAAGGACGTCACCGCCATCACTAAGGAGAAGACTGCGCTCGTGAGTTGCTTTATAATACTGTCTCAATTCGCTAATGGCCGAAATTAGTAACTGTTGAAGTGGATGGTTTTCATTTAAAATTTAAATAAATGATGGACATTGGACACTTTATATACTTAATTTATTGTAGAAACTTAGGAAACATATTTCGGCGCCATGCGATGATGCGGTACAAATACAAGGAAGCAGAGAGAAAAAAAACAGATTAACAAATGACATCCTGCACGGTTACTTTCCCAAGGAAAACCTACTACGCGCTACTTGTATATTTTAGATGTTTAAGATTATAAAATTTACCTTATTACAACAGTAACCCATCTCTAAATTGTATTTTGATTAAGTTCAATAATTAATTTCGCCCTAAATTAACACGTTAAACGCCATGGCAGTCACTGGTGACCGACATTAGCGGAGGATTTGCCTTCAATAGTTTTTTATTGGCAGCCAATGCCTTAATAAATATTTCGCCATGTAACCTTTGTGAATACTGAATAACTTTCAGTGTTCAATAACTAAGTAGTACACAGAAAAATCTAGCGTGGAGCAAAATGTAGATGTATTAGTCCCATTGTAACAAACAAGCTAGCCAAGTCTAAAACACACTAAAGATAATATGAAAAGCAGACAAAAAGCCAGCCTGAAACAACAGAGTCCAACGGTTTTCTGTCAAGAGTGTAATAATATTTCACAATATAATTTGATCCGACAGAGAACCAAAGTTATCGACATAGCCCAAAGGATCAGTAAGCCGAAGTGGCAGTGGGCCGGTCACATTTGTCGAAGAACCGATAACCGCTGGGGTGAACGTGTTCTAGAGTGGAGACCGCGTCTAGGCAAACGCAGTGTAGGGCGCCCTCCAGCTAGGTGGAGTGACGACATCCGACGACAGGACCGAGCTCAGTGGCGTGCTATTGGAGAGGCCTATGTCCAGCAGTGGACGACTACGGGCTGATGGTGATGATGAATGAATGAATGAATATAATTTGTTCCCAGGTAATTCCCAATGCGATCCTAGTATGCACGGAGGGAGAGAAGAACTTCCTAACATCGTTCTCGGGGCGAGATAAGGCGTACCTCATGCTGTTCCGGATCTGGCAGAACGCGCTCATGGACCAACCCATGAGCAGCCAGGAGTTCTGGCAGTGGGTGAGTACTGGGACGTGTGAATCCTTGCTACCAGCTTTAAAAGACACTCATCCTATAGGTGTTTCTCTGACTAAATCTATACAGATAAATAAAATTAAAGTGTCTGTTTGTAATATTGAAATAACTGCTTTTTAATACATTCATTTGAATATACATACGACACCTATACCAAAATAACATTTTTTTTAGTTTTGTCTGTCTGTTTGTACTGGTTAATCTCTGAAATGGCTGAACTGATTTTGACGGGATTTTACTGGCAGGTAGCTGATGTACTAAGAAGTAACACAGGCAGGAAAATTAAAACAAAACTAGTTATGTTCTAAATTAATATTCTAAACTAACGAAGTCGCGGGCTAGTGTTTAAATAAAGTTAAAGCAATCATGCTCAAACCAAAGTTACCAATATAGGTGTGGATAACTAGACAAGGCATGAAAAGAAACATTCATTTAGTTAATCCGTTAGTTAGGTAGCGTACAAATAGAAGACAAGTATTTTTTTATTTTATCCAATCCAAATAAATATAACTCCTTGAATAAAGCGAATAATGTTGATCTGTCGATTAAAAATAGGCAGTCCATATACCAATCTTTTTAAGTATGTATTATAGTAAGATTAACATTCACGGTATCGATACTACCTACGAATAATCAGTCCTAAAAAATCTAGAAAAACCATGTCTCCCCCTGCCTGATCCCCTATAGTATATTCAGATATATTCGGAAAGCCGTGCCATATAATTCTAAATCATGCGCATTGTAGAACGAGCCCAAATCAATATTTACCATTTAAAAGTAAAAAACAAGCTTAGCTTTGGCTATAATATTTCTTAGTGTTGCCAGATACAAACAGTTTATTATTGTTGTTTGTTGACTTGTTATTGTTTTGATTAGAATTTGTCTTGTGCACTGCAAGTAATGCGTAGTAAATATAAAAATAGATTTTTTGTGCCATATCATATGTATCGTTTATAGATTCGATTTAAAAAATCCATAATAAACTTTTACTCAAAATTATGAGATAATAAATAAAATACTGTTTTTCTAGGTAGCAACATCAGTTAATGCACAGATTAGAAATTCAAAACGATTCAAATATGTTCCGACCTGAATACTCTGTGTTAGCATTTAACAAATATTTCTCCTTTGTGTGAAGTATTTGTGTTACATTTACATAATATTGTACCTGTGCTACTATCAGAAATCTGACTACTCAAGTGCTCATGTATTTTTCGCACGTGTTCTCGCCTCGTGAGCCCGCGACCTTAGTTTTAGTTTCCAAGTCTTATGTTATACGCATTATTCTAGCTTAATATTTCAGAGAATGAGTACAAGTTCTAAATAAGAAGAACGTAAATTACACTTACATTACCTTCATTGATCTTGTACGTAATATAAAGGATCAGATTGGAAAAAAAATACAGATTTTTTTTACAAGAGTACCAATGTAGTTCTTCTGCATTCGAAACTACAGTTTAAAACGAGCACAAAGCTTCACTGATAGACAGGCTGACGGACAATTCCATTTGGACGTTTCAAAAGTGCTTATTAATGAGTAATTGAATTAATTGTTTGTAAAAATCTATTGAAATAGGTGGCGGTCGTTTCATTTTTTCTATGTCCATGATATAATACGTAACGTACGTCTGGGTCTCATGTGCATGTGAACGTGTATGTTTGTAAACGCACCCACGACACAGAAGAAAATCCTAGTGTGGAGCAACGTTTTTTACTGGTCTATGAAGTATGAATATGAGTTACTACTAGTTACTAGTATAAATCAACCTCTAAAAATCGCAAGGTATCAAAAACAATATGACATCAAACTTCTAGGAACTATTAGAGTAGTTTGCCTAACTCTGAAATAAATGTCTAGTAAATAATATGAAACAAAGTCTGAAATATTTCTTTTGTAAATTATGATCCATTTTACATTTTTATACAAGTTGCCTAGTACCCAGTACGTTTCTATAGTTTGCAATGGCTAGCGTTACTAAATATATTCACAAACTCATTGATCTAAAGAAAAATACTAATAAGTGATAAGAACGAATAAATTATATTTTAGTTTTTATTGCTTCGAACAATGGGATATTAAACCGCTTGCGCCGATTGCTGCAGCAAACTCTATTTACGCATATACATAGGATATTTAATCAGTTGGTTTAATACTACACCAGAATCATATAACTCGAGTTATTTCAAAATTATGGTTTACTATTTGGTGAATTTATGAAAATATTAGTGCATAATTGAAGTCTGTTTTACGCCTGACTTGATTTATTAATCGCGTTAACTTTTCTTGATAACAGAAGTACTTTTAAATTGTACTGGTTGTAATGTTTCCATCGAATGTCATTGATCGTTATTTATTACACACGTCCTCAGAGCAACATGTGAGTGTTTCAAACTATGAACTATATTTTTAAACATTTCCTTTATTAAGTTGTTATTGGACATGTGTGTGGTTATTTTTACAATTCTTATCTATATACAATTCGCTTGCCACTTCCATATGGAAAAATAACCTTTTCAAAGAGTCCCAATATACCCTTCCAAAAGTATTTATCCTATCTCTGAACAAAATTACATGTTAATCGGTTTAGTAGTTTTAAACATGAAAACGTCAGATAGACAGCTACTTTGGCATTTACCTACGAGAATATATCGACCGATATCATAGGAGAGATTCTGAAAAAGATCAGTACCTTCGTTCCTGTATGAGAATGAATGTGATGGAAGCTAATAAGTGTTGCAAGGATTGAATAGATGGCGATCTATAGTTTCTGCCTACCCGCATGACACTAAGGCATACGTTTATGTATGTATATATTTCCTTCTAAAATACTCTATCCAATTTAAAGCGCGGAAATTCCAATCCATTGTAATATATTCGTCAGTTTGTCCAGTTTATGGGAAGCTCATTATAAAGTAGATGAGGTGATACAGCCCGGCCGGGGCCCAGTGCGCGGGCCGAGGCGGCGCGACTCGCTGCGCACACGCACCCACCCACTGCCAGTCGCTTTTATACCATTTATTTAAATAATGGACTATCTATTGTGGTTTCCTTTATTTATTATCTATGTTTGTAATTTTAAATACGTTAACGGGTTATTTATTTAATCTTCATTGTTAAATTTGTTTTGGATAACTCGTGTGTGGATAGCACGTGGTCTGTAAGTATTTTTGTTATTTATATGAAACAAACTAAGGTTGATATTAACTCGTCGAGTACCGGTTTTGTAGACACAATTATAGAACAATAGGTTGCGGTCACCGGTGACCACTTGGTGTTTGACAGTTTAAATATTTTACTAGTGTTCGAGTTACTCTAAAGTTTGAATTATCTTTGAATCTGTGTGCGTGCTGTCGAGTAAATGCTTTTTCTTTTTTATTTCTTTTTAACCCGTTGAAAATTGTTGAAAATCATCCCCTAAATTTGTTCGTACAAAAATAGTCTCTAAACATTGAAAATAAGGTCTATAACGTAGTTAGTGGAGAGCGGTCACCGGTGACCGGGGATATACGGGTATTGTATGGTTTGTCAGTGATGTTTATATGAAAAACAATAAGTTATCTTTAGAAGTGGTACTACACCTCTAGTTGAACGTGTACTACACGTTCGAATTTTGTCAACAAATAATTGCACATGGTTTATGAAGTTAATCTATAAATTTAAAGAATAAAATAGATTACTTTACCATTTATGTCTAAAATAAACTTAGATAGAATAAACTATATGTTAAATATAGACCTAACTTATACATTTTCCTGAAACTTTACGATAAGTCGATGAATTATATTTTTCTATTCAGATAAGCAGTCTGACTGCGCTACTTGTTATTATAAGATAGTATACAATATCCTCCTTAGTCCAGCATGGTAATCAGAGCTTATGGGTTCTCCATATGAGAAGACAATGTTACCCAGATCGTTAGTTAGATAATTAAAGGCTGACGATTATGTAATATTGTTTCTTTTTAATTTATTAAGACTATAGTTGTGGTCTGTATATGGCAATGGACTCACTTTCTTATAAATGAGTTTCATAACATAACGAAACGAGCAGTTATGTTAAATATATATACTTCTATATATATATAAATCCACTATCCATCCCTCAGCACAGAACGGCGGCCTTCAGGGGGAGCTTCAAATATGCTGCGACTCACTGTTGGAACAACCTGCCACCACCAATGCGAGACCTGAAAACCAAAAAACACTTCCTAAAACAGTTGAAGAATTTTCTGTTAAACACACAAAAATGTACATAAATTACACACACTACTTACATACATAACACACACAATTCACTACTCACCTCAAGGGTCGCGGCCTTCCAACATGGTGAGGCACAGGTATCCAACAGGTTCGTTCGTGGCTGCAGCCTCCCCCATCATTTATGTTCAATATAGGTATATCTGTATTTTACAGGTTATGCCGGCTACTTGCTGTAAATACAGGACACACACTTCATATTACACTCACACACGGTACACTACTGCTTTATAGTAACAATTCACGTCAGTACATATACAAGTTAAGTGAATCATGGTCTGCACTCACGTCATTCGTTGCATTGCATTCATGATCGCTGGCGAATAGTGAAGCTGGCGGGACGCCATTACGTCACCCAGGGATGTGCTGAAAATCAGCGCTGCGACGCTAACCTCTCGAGGTTTAAGTCGTAGAAATTGCTGAGCATATCCTGTTTTTGCGCACGCATACATGACGCACAATATTGGGGCAAGGATAGCATCAAGTACCTATAATTGATGCGTTTTGTTTTATATAATTAAACTTTTATATAATAATATACTCATGCATGAAGTAAGTACTTAAGTAGGGTGTTTCTTGTCTATGGTCCACAGATAATGTTAGATATTAAGTATTCTATAATTTCAGTAAAGAATAAGTCTGTGGACCATGGACAAGACTTCACTTCATTTTATATTTTTAGCTTTTATTTTATTTAATTTTATTTTTGGTTATGTTATGTGTGTTTTGCGCAAAAATAAATGGTTTTTCTTTCTTTCTTCTTTCTTCTTTCTTCTTACGAATATATGTTCAAGCTAAATCGTAGATGTCTGCCAAACCCCTTAGCTGTTATTGTTTATAATAATTTCTACGCTACTTGGATATCGTCCAATGTAATTGGCAACGAGCCCGCAACACATTTCACTTGTCATTTTCACACAAATGTCAAAGTAAAATCATTGAATACAGTTTTTGAGGTATCCTGTAATCTCTATATTTTGTGTTTGTAAAAGAAAACATATAAAGGAGTGTTTATATTGATAACTGGATAGTGAGTCAGTTTCTTTTTAATTTTATCTTGGTCCTATGAATCATTGATTGTCTTGATATGTGTACACCGTTTAATTAAAAATAAGTTTTTATTAGATAATGTTTAATGTGATGCATTCTATTTTCCAAGTAGGTAAAAAGAAAAAACTAAAAAATATTTTGAGCCTTGATTTGCGTATAGGTAATTAGGAATAAACTCATTGTCATACATCTATACTAATATTATAAAGCTGAAGAGTTTGTTTTTTTGTTTAAACGCGCTAATCTCCGAAATTACTGGTCCGATTTGAAAAATTCTTTCTGTGTTGGATAGCTTATTTATCGAGGAAGGCTATTATAGGCTATAAAATATCACGCTGCGATTAATAGGCGCCGAGCAGAGCGAGTGATACCGCGCGGAAATAGCTAGTAGATAATAATTGTAATCATGTTTTTTAATATAGATCTTCTTTTGTCTTTTCTATATGAATTTGTCATTCAAATCTTCCTGAACGGCGGGACTGATTTTGATTATATTTTGTTTGTGACTCTTTCTGATTAAAATTCTGTTCAGTAGATAACACAAAAAGTAGCGTTTCTTGTAATCTTCTGTTTATTTCTTTTTATCTAACTCTAACTCTGGAGTAGAGAGATATCGACGGATTGTTTCTGAAATATAATGTCAAATGCACACCTGTTTGGTAAAACTATGAAATGCTAGATAACAGAGACTTATCTACAATTATCCTTAAGTTTGTACTGCTATAAACTGACGGAAACATCTCATCTTGTACAGATGTTCTGTGTATAACTAAGTATCAACATCATTCACACTACTGTTTATTTATTTCATGATTTCTGGTCATACAAAATGAGTACGACCTTAGAGGGTTACAAAACCAAGATATACCCCATTATCAAGTAAACTAGAGCTTTTTTTATATTTAATTCGACTCTAGGATTTCGTTTTATATCGCAAGTGCGTTTACAAAATCAAAAATCAAAATAGTTGTTCCGTGCGGGAATCGAAACTGTCACACATTTCTCAGTTGTCGATCTTAATATATTAACATTGCTACTTATGTTTCAGGTACACAGCAGTTACGGTGAAGAGTTGGGGTTCAATTCCGACGAAGAAGGATACGGGCGAGACGCTATAGACGACGTGCCCCCGTTACCAAACGACACTGATCAGGTACCCACTGATCCACCTCATGGTGGTCATCATCAGGTGGACCATATCATAGTAAACTGAGACCTCTAAAATGTGGTTGATAAGATCCCCAAGCTTAGTAAGCTGCTTGGGGATCATAGTTGAGCCACCAACGACAATTTCAAAAATCCATAGTCAGTACTTCAGAAGTTTTATCACATATCCACGTTGTTTATACCTCTACAAGGTGTTGTTTAAAAGCCGCGTCATTTTCTAGGAGGTAACTCGGCTATCGATTCTGAGTCCGAATCAATAAAAAAAATTGTAGGTAAATATTTTTCATTTTTCTGTAAATTACGGAAAAATTAAGTGCGAACTACACGCCGCCGTCTTGTAACTAGCTTTATAACGCGGCTTAACGCACAAACTCAAACACGTAATTGATATTATTCCTAATTCCATAAAACTCCAATAAGAAACATTGCTATCGCTTATTCTGAAATACTGTCGAATTTAAACGATTTATTATAGCCGTATTATTAAGTATTGGCCCGAAATTTTCTCTTACATTGAACCTTTATGACTTCTATGGCATACCCACCCCCGAGAAATGACATGCTTTCAAAACTACACCTTGTATAAATAGCAAATTATATATTAAATACTGACAGCAATTCAATAGAATTGGTAAGCATTTATGTTTAAAGTCGCGAGTGGATTTTATATTATACTATATATTTGTTTGAAATGTAATGTACTGCTCTAGGTGTTTTTCACTTAAATATCAAGAATCTATCGTAGCGTTTGATAACATCACAGTTAGTAGATAATGTAAGGTTTGTAGGCATTAGGGCAGGTCGTGTCCTAGACTAGTACTACCAAAACCTAGGTCGATGTAACTACTTATTTTATCTCTATTTAATGATTTTTAAGCGACTTACCAAAGATATTATGAAATTAAGGTTGATCGCACCACGTAAAACGTCACAAAAAAGCAAAGTTGGTTTTAATACTGCAATCTAAACTCTGCTGAGGATATCAGGAGTGACCTAACTTTAAGTCAGAAACACCTTTTTTAAACTAACAAATATTTTCCTCAAAATAGCTCAGAACTTCGCTTACAGAAATATGCGATAATCCTTCCGTTTCTCGTGATGACGTGATTGCTGATAATTCAGTACATATCTACAAATTTACCCAAATATATCTAGGGACATTTACTACACGATACTACTAAGAACGGCTATCTCCTCAGATAACTAAATAAGACAAAACAATCGCAAAATACCTGACTCATTCGCAGCTTAAACACCTGTGGTAAAATCTAGGAAACGTCCTTTTTAAAATTCAACTTTCGACCTATAGCAACAGAGTTATTTTTCGGATTGACAAAGCTTGTTTACCGTCATGAAAGCGAGTTCACTTTGATAGGAAAATCAACTTTATTTGTAATGTGTTAAGAGTTATATTCCGGTGGATGGGACTTGTTCCTATGTGTGGCGTATGTAGAGATAAAAATGGCGATAAGTTTAGAAATACCGAAAATAAAAATCAATCGGTAATCAAGCCATCGTCACTATCAGTCGATAAGTGATAGCGTTGTAACTACACGTGTCCATCATCATGCGCATTACAAGGAAATCTAAGAAAAAAGTGAGTTTTTATTTATTTATTTTAATATTATTTCCACTTTTCAACTAAAATATTACAGTAATTCTATCAAAAATCTTTAGAAAATAGTACATTTCTGTAAAAAAAATAATGAAAAATGGTTTTATTCAATTTAAAATTCTATTTAAAGAGATATATATAGACGTACATAAAAACATGATACATGTATGTGAAAACATCGTAAAAATATGATAAAGATATTATTGACTTTTTATAATAACTATCGTGAGACATACTAAATTAAGTGGTTCGAAACTAGTAGAGCTTTTCTCTCTCTGTGGTTCGAAACTAGTAGAGCTTTTCTCAGTATATTCACGTGAGTAACCCGCGTTTTTACTTAATATTATTGACTTGTTTAGGTGTATATCTGTCATGTATTATAATATATAACTGGTAGGTACTTACCTCTAAATATTTATCTTAACTGTACATACTATACATATACGATAGGTATATAGAATACAAACATTACATGTTTAGTAGTGGTATCTACATCTATTCAGGAATTGATTTGCGTTTGTTTCCGTGTTAAATTTTACGCAAGAACTTTATTTATAATGCGAAGTAGTGATATAAATATCAAGTCACATACAAGTCATAAACACTGACTTTTATACTACGTTATTAAAGAACAAATGGCATGAATCATAATAACACGTCTTACCCCGACAGGGTAGCTTCTAAATTCCCGAGAGCACAACGGTATCCTCTCTCACTCACTCTATTTTAGACCCTATTTCCGATGTTTAGAGACTACTTTTGTATGAACAATTTGTTATTAAAAATGAACAAATCGCTAGTGGGTATGTATAACCTAACATACAATTGCCAGATTTGTCTTAACAAGATACAGCGTGTCAATCAAAACAAAAACCCGGCTTCAAAGCCTCGAACACAAGCTTTCTGTTTTCTACCTCATGCATTTCGGTGAGTGTGCGGGGGAACTGCACAACTTGATTCCCCCTAGTCCTTTCCATTATCGTACCACAAGACAATCGGCGAAGCGTCACCGATTCGTGATAGATGTCCTGACGCACGAAGCGCTTCGCATCAAGCTTCCTTGTGCGTACTGCTAAGGGGTGGAATTCTCTGCCAGTGTTTCCTGAAGAGTATAACCTGGGGGTCTACAAGGCACGAGTGAATAGGTTGCTTATGCGGCGATGTGCTCCATCGTAGACTGCATCATCACTTACCACCAGGTGGCTGCAAATCTTTGTGATGTTTTTAATGCGATGTACACTGTCTAATATAATATTCGCACTAATTGCTACCACCTAGTAATTATCTACTCTCTGCAGTTGTTTAGAGTCTGCACAATATTACCTATATAATCTTATAGCCAGGTTCAATAATCTATGTATGTTTAGTAATCATCTTAGATATTTATAATTATCATACCTAATCACAATGACAGTTGTGAAATTAACCTTAATCTTGCATTGTGCACCAGACAAAAGATCATCAGACTTTTATCAACGACTAGCGACCCGCCCCGGCTTCGCCTTCGTGCTTTCCCAATGCTCCCGAAGAATGTATCAAACCTTTCTTTTATACAAACTTTGTCCTGAAGATAACGAACACAATAAAAAATTATTATACAATTCATTGCAGTCATTCGCCAGTTATTAGCGTACGTACATACATTTTGAAGATCCGTTTTTATTAATATAGATAATCACCATCGACATATTACTCCAGGTTCACCCACTACTCGGTATGAGACCTTCCCCTTTGTCTGCCATACTTCTTGGTTTTTTTACAACCACACAAGGAGTTCCCAATACAAAAATATGTCTAGATAATCACTTGTTTGTATCCTGTGCCCAAACTTGTTCATAGAAAAGAAAGTTCTAAACAAGGGGAATAAGGTCTATTTCCAATGGAGATGGATGAGAGAAGACAAGTCCTCTTGGCTATTTAGAAGAAGTAACAATATACTAGTTTGAATCAGTCTTTTACTTTAGTACATGGATGAAAACATCTAGAAGATTAAGGTAGCATTAAACTGATTGCACAGCTTACAACCAAAACAAAGCGAGATAACATAATAATTATATTACTTAATTTTCCCCCTTTCTAAGTAATGAGTCATCAACCGATATATAACAGTAATTACTGATAATAAAATAAATAGGTTCTTGTTCTACTCAGTGATAAATAAGAAGTTACTGATGGCACTTTTATAAAAATTCCCTAAAAATACGGTCCTGTATTTCCGTCTTAGATGACAAATGACAAAAAGTATATGTAGGGCATATACTTTTATTTGTCAGAGTACAGACATGAACGATAGAAAATAACATTACATCACGCCTTTTATTCTCGAAGGGGTAGGCAGAGGTGAAAGTTACGGAACTTATTATTATTATTAAACTAAAATATTTTTTGACCTAGTTAGTATAAGTCATACACAATGCTAGCTTGCAATTCCGTAACTATAGGGTGGCGTGTCGGCAAAACCCACTGACCCCCCAGCTGGGCTCCGTTCAGGGATTTTCATCTCAACTTCTCTGTTCTTTATTGTAAACGGAAGCCTACCCGATGAATTTGCCACGGGGCCCGAACGGAATAGTTACACCACTGCTAGCTTATTAAGTACAAAGTTTCCTTGTTGTAATCAACAAGGAAAGATTTTGTTTTTAACAACCCTAATTATCTAAGACCAGATCATAATAATATTTTGATAACATAGATAAATATCGTCATATTACTAAGAATCTATATTTAGGCTCGCCTCAGTTACATAACGCAATAGTAACAGGTGTTGAAATATATTGTATACGGAATATTTGCTATCGTAAAGATTAACAGTATAATATCTGGGTGTCTCGATACTGGAACCAGATTACATCGTTCTTAGTAGGTAGACGGACTGAACCTGACTACCTCGTTGGCCGCATGGTCCCAAGTGCGACTGATGGGCAAAGGGTCACTCACGGGTTCGATTCACGGGTCGGGCAAAGTATTACTAGGTTTTTTAAAAAATATCAGTAGTAGCACGGAGTCCGCAATTGTGTCCGGTATATGGCAATAGGCTCACCCCCTATTACATGGGACTTATAACATAAATAGTGAAAAGTGGGTGTTACCTTATACAGTGGCATTAAGTGCCGTAATGTGCAATTCTTCTTACCCCTTTGGGGATAAAAGGCTGTTGATGTTATGTTGATGATGTCATTTTGTCTATCTTTCAAACTTTATGATACAAATAATCTAGTTAAGTTTATTTTAAATAGACTTTTTTTGACCCATAGGTTTAGATTAATACAGGAAAAATATATACACCAGGTAAACAAAAATCAAACGTACTTACTATCGCTAAAGACGTGGGTGGGATATATTACCGTGATTCATGTTTATTAGCAGTAATCAGAGTAATTTTCTCTAGCGCTGATATTCAGCTGATACTGCTGACCTCCAGCTAGCTAGCGAGCGTGCGTCAGAACAAACAATAGACATATATAACAACTATATTAATTGTTTTATTAATTTAACAAGATAAGCCCATAAGAGCCACACCACGTCTATTACTATTTGTCTAATAACATGAGTCGTTATTTGGGCAAAAATTGGTCGTGATATTGCCATGCGTTACTGTGACAACAAATAACTTATTATTTTATTGAAATTTAAAAGAAACTAAAAGTTGTAGGTACCTACTTAATGCTAGATATATTTTGAAGGATAACCGCACCTTTACGCGCCATTTAGAAAGTGTTCTTTATAAATATTTATAGTAAATAACTCGTTTGATCTATATTTTGAAAAGAAAATTTAATATAGATCACCCTATTTTGTTTTATATGAATTAATGAAACACCCTACAATATTACATACCTAATAAATAAGCGTACCTAATTCCTCTGAAGGATTATTATGGTTGTGAGGCAGGCAGAAACCTAATTTAAGTAACATAATTAATGAGTGTTCGTCGTATGTACGTGCAACGTCTCGTCCGCAACTAGAGCAGTACATTTGTTGTAGCCGAGCGAGACCAGCAGCAACAACGCGTGGTACTTGTCTGTGCAGGACCTCACGGACGCCGCCACCATGGACGCCGACGACCCGCGCGACCAGCGCGACAACCGCACGCGCCAGGGCACGCGCGCGCACGACTCGTCGCCGCCGCTTGGTAAGTTTTCTTGCTTTATTTTATTAAAATATACTAGCTGAGCCAAGACTTCGTCCGCGTGGAATAGTGATTCATAGCTCCTCACTCGTAGTTGATTGCATGATAATATGTAGCCTATATGTTGACCCTGTTTCACAGGAGAAAATCCTAGAGTGGAGCAACAAAAAAGATTTTATAATATTTTTTTTTATTATTATTTGTTGATCTGCAATCAGTCGCCAGACTATAATGTGGGTGCTTACTCTTGAAACCAATCTCAATGTCAATGCAATTTCAATCCAACAAAATCTCAATAATTATTTATTCAATGTCAAAACTATACAACCCCTATCGTAGCTGCTAAAATATCATTCAGAGTACGGAATATAAAGCTAAACTCAATACAGTTTAGGCCATTCAATATCCACGCAATACGCATGTAATGGGCGCTAATGTTGCAACTCGAGAATACAAAATTTCACAATACCAATGTCGATCGATCGGAATTGGACTCGAGAGTAAGCAACTAAGGACCCAGATGTGGTGAAGTGGGATGTGGCTTTTGAGTGTAACAGGCCAATGCCTGATATCACTTATATTATAAGGTGTCGCTTTAACCTTTTCACAATTTTACCATTGTCAAGTAATTCCATGACTAGTGGATTGGGGTGGTGGGCGAGACGCTCACGATGTTGTTTTTTATATATACCATATATCCATATAGGTTTCAGTACAGAGTAAATTAAATTAAATGATAATTATTCACTATCGTTTAGTTTAGTATAGGTATAATTTGAAAAATATATTGATAACAATGATACCTAAATTATTGTATTACTGGACGCAACCTGTACAACAGGTGTTTTGTATTGAGTAGGTGGTGACAGGCAGTAAGGTACTGATATTTTGGAATTACGTGTCAAAACAATAATCGTGTGATATAGGAATAGTTTTAATCAAAAATATTTACGTGTGATAAGCAGATACATACATACATACATACCTACCTACATCTGGATAACAGTTATTACTAAGTTTGTGTATTATTTATATATTGTTTTTGACAATATTGCTATAGTTAGCCTAGACTGCCTTGTTGGCTGAGTGATCGCAAGTACGACTCCGGGGAAGGGGTCACGGGTTCGATTCCCGGGTCGGGCAAAGTATTACTGAGTGTTTTAAAATATTCTCAGTAGTAGCACGGAGTCTGGAATGGTGCTAGGTGTATGGCATTAGGCTAACTCCCTATTACATGGGACTCATAATATAAATAGTGAAAAGTGGGTTTACATTGTGCAGTGGCATTATGTGCACCGCTGCCTACCCCTTCGGGGATAAAAGGCGTGATGCTATGTTAGCCTATTCAAGATTACAACAACTGTCTTTTCCTGATGCAAGTACTTTTCCCTTGTCTCTTGACATGTTATCATGAACCTAACACGAATTCAAACTCCATTGCAATAAGTAGTTAAATTATTCGAAGTACCTGCTACTACTACCTCTTTTTACCCCTTCAGAGAATAAAAGGCGTTATGTTGATAACTCATGAGTAATATTAATTGAACTAGTTAGTAAAAGTTGAACCTATATCAAGTACATCTTTGAGTTCGATATCAAGAAACAAAGAATAAAAAGCATGATAAGAACTCCTTGTCGTTAGTTAAAAGAACCCATTCCGTAACAACTTGTTGGGTATTACCCTGAACGTGTGGGTATAAAGGTGACGTCCAGGTAATATTTGTACTCTCAGAAGTTAAAACAATCTTATTTGGTAATTTATAAGAAGTTTACATTAAACCATAGTCGGAGTAACACAGTCAATCTTACTTTATAAGCAATACCGCGGGTTTAGTAATAATAATAATAATTTTACGTGCGTACAAAACCCGCCCAAGCTCACAGTGATTTTCATTTGCAAAATATTATCTTATGTGATACATTGTACTGTAAGATAGTATTTATTTAGATGTGCAGTTCTCTCATAACATTAAATAGTAAGCCTCCATCGACTCGTGGGATGGAAGAACAAACGTTTGTATTGAACACTCTAAATATAGTTATTCTTTAACTGTGGAGTGCCAACGTCGCGTCGTTTCATTAGTTTTATTTTCCGGTTAATTCCGCCCTAAAACTATTCCGTTTTTACAAGTTTTTGTTAAGTTATTTAACCATTTGTATTTATTTTATTTGTATAACATCATTTCTTCTAATAATCGTTAAATTACTTCCAAAAACGCAATAAAAACAATTACAGATAAACATTTCAAATCAAACTTTATAACTACATAATAAATTATTAAAGTGTCTATGATCTCGATGATTTACTTTTCGAGAAAATTAAAGAAGAGTGCTGTAGCAAAGATGGACGATGCGGAAATAGTAGACTATTCAGAGGACGAGTTTGTGATGTGTGAGATATTTGAGGTGTGGGAACACATTGACACCAGGCAGTGTGTGAGACCTACGTCTAGCCTACTAGGTAATCTATACAGATATATAAAATTAGAGTGTCTGTTTGTAATATTAAAGTAACAGTTTTTTACTACATGCAAATGAATACACATACCAACCAATATTTTACAATTTTTCTCTTTCTGTCTGTTTGTTTGTACCGGCTAATCTCTGAAATGGCTGAACCGATTTTGCAAGACTTTTACTGGCAGATAGCTGATGCACTAAGAAGTAACATTAGCTACTTTTATTTTGAAATATTGAAACGATAAAAAGTTATGTCCTAAAATATATATTCTACGCGAACGAAGTCGCGGGCAACAGCTAGTATTTTATAAATACTTAATACCTCAGTAACATAGGGTTTTATACTATTAATTGGGAATACTATCAGAACGTGGAATATTAAATATTGGCGTCTTTGCATAAATCCTTGTGGAAATAAAAAACACAATGTTCTTAAAACTTACTAATATTTACATGCAAAAGTAAGTGTTGCGCTTTCTCACCTAAACTACTGCACTGATTTTGATGGAATTGGAACAGGACTACAGAGATAGAATGTTAGTCTGGGAAATTAAGATTTTGAAGGAATTGCGTAGTTTCCAGGGTAAGAAAATTAAAAATCGAATTAAGTAGTCCTTCAGTTACATAGTAGTGAAAAATATTAGACACGTATTTTTATTTTATTGTATAAAGTTACAATACTTAGATAAAATGGAGTTAAGTTTAGGAGTGGGAGGTCGTTACGTCACAACGTGCTACATTTTGTTGCACGCTATAACGTCACACGAAATTTCAAATCAATATATCAAAGTCAAAGTCAAAGTCAAAATCATTTATTTCAATTAGACCAGTAAGGCACTTTTGAACGTCAAAACAAAATATTTAAATACTAAATAATAAGAAAAGAAAAATGTGTCAGTCTGTAAGTCAGTCCTCTAGTGAAGCTATTTGCTCGTTCCAAAGTGTAGATTCCTATGGAGAAGAACGAGCAAGAAACTCCATAGGTTACTCTTTTTCAATCATGTTCACAATACAATTTTTGGTTACATTCTTCCGTTGAGTTCAATAATGTGAGAACAATGTAATACCAATATTTGGTCAAGGAGACGGAGAAAGAAAATAACCTTGAGGACAACAAATTTAATACAGTCTGGAGCTGACCAGTCCCATTTGACAGCGCCCGTGTATCAAAACATGTCTAATATTTTAAAATAATCTACCAGACGGACATTAAAATAAAATTTAGGAAACTAGCCTATTATATTTTTGTATTTTATAATCCACACGAATTAAGTAGAGGGCAAAATCTTGTGAATGTTACTTTCACTTTATTTTATACCGTTTATTAAGCATAAACAGAAAATATTCACAAAGCAAGATACAATGGCTCTTGTATTCTTATCGCATTCGATGTCCTCTTCCAGACAACCTTAGGTACTACTACTATGTTGTCAAGGGCGATTGAAAAGTTTTTCAAAATCAACAACATCCTATCTGTCGTTTCGAAATATAATATATATGTATATATTTTTAAGCCGTGACTACATTCAAGATTTTCTGTGTGTCGAGGGCGCATTTACAAATATAATTATAAAGGGGGCGTCCATAAATTAATTAGGTGAGGTGTTTTTTTAATTGTCTGTCCCTCCCTCCCCCCTTGGTGAGATTTCGTGAGATTTATTCAACTCCCTCCTCCATCCCCCAATCTCACGTGAGATTTTTCAAAATGTTGGTTTTTTGCGTAATCGCGTTGGATTGTTATTGTAAAAAAAATCCATGTTCGTGTACATTTAAATCTTAAGCATGTACAATCTGTAATAAATGAACTAAAATAGTATATTTTTTGTTTCTATCAGAAAATAAATTACGTGATATTTTCCGAGACCCCCCCTCTCTCCAACGTAAGATTAGATGAGATTTGAGTCTACCTCCTCCCCCCTTAAACATCTCACGTAATTTATGGACGCCCCCAAATCCACATACATTCACAATTGATAAACCACACAAAGAGTAGTCCAGCGCGAGAATCGAACCCACTAAATGAAGTGTGATGTCGTCGTTCTGCCTTTGTGGTTGCGGTTAATTATAAAAATAAACATTACACTGTTTTGTCATATATCGAGTATTAAATAAATTAACTAATAATCAAGCCGCAATTATTGTGCGGTTCACAAATTAATGGTATGAGTAAATATAACTGCAAAATATTAATTAATTTTCTTTTGTGAGTAATATTAATCAAAATTGTTATATTTAATTCATGATTACGTCATTTATTTTAATCCCGTCATTGTCTTATATGGCCATTCAAAGATAAAATATATATTTCCATGGAAAAAATAAAGTAATTGTTTTAGTTATTCCTACTTCACTACCATTTACCAAATTATCTTTGGGTAGTAATAAAAGCTCCGACAAGAAAAGAAGAATTGTCCTTACTGAAAATATTAAATCTACTGCCTAAAATACTAACTTTCCGACTACTTCACATGACTGTTTATTGCTACAATACTAACCTAACCTAAAACGTCTGTTGTCGGTAACTTAGTAATTTTGTCGGAGGTTCAATATTCTATTCGGAAGTTTAGTTTTGTTATTCGAAGATCCATTTTTATAGTCGGCCACAGATCGCTGGAGATTAATTTGTTTTTCGAATCTATTATTATTTTCCATTATCTTTGGTGACGCTAATTCTAGAGAGCCCGGTGTGCAGTGATAGTCTTGCCTCCCTAGGACAAGGGATGTCTAATTATAATGGTATATCTGACGTTACAGTGACGAATGGCGATGCGGAGTACCGCGAGGATGAGGCCGGTGACACTCTGCCCACCGATATGTCCGACACATCCGACAGCGAGCCTGACAAACCGCACAAGTAAGTATACTGTGTTATTTAGACTTAATCATCACTATTATTCAAAAAATTCGGAGTCGCGGAGAACCTAACGGGTTACCGGGGCTCCGGCTCGAAGCGCAGGAGAAGGAACGGGGTGGTTTTTAGTCAGTAAGAGTCTGACACTCTCCCTTCCGCCTCACTAGGCGGGAGCAGTTATTCGATGAAATTCCCCCCTTAAACAATACTCAAAAATGGGCCAGTCAAATGATATTATTTTTACGTGGAATAGCCATGCTTCGACACGAATAGACCGGCTCGACCGGATTGATACCACGGCTTCATAGAAAACCGGCGTGACATAACGCTTCCGTTGTGTTTTGCCATGTGAATAAGGTTAAGGAGGCCTAATCCTCGTCTTTTCTCTTCCCCTTCCATAGCCTTCCCTCCCTCGTTTAGGATAATTTGCTTCCGTACCTAATTCTGATTCAATGTATAACTATGATAACATTGCGACAGTGGCGGCGAGGTGGAGAAGTGCACAGCTGCCCACGATGGCAAGCTGATCCTGCGGCAAGAGTTCCAGTTCAACATCGACAACCTTTTCACCATGATCTTCACCAACTCTAAGTTTAACCTCGAGTTCCTCGCTGTCAGGGGCACCACTGACTATGTGCAGGTAACTGAGAATCTCTTGTTTGTTAGGAATCTTTACAAAGTGACAAAAGTTTGTAGTTCTGAGTAATTAATTAAGCACTCATTGAGAGAAAACTGGATAAGTTATGTACTTAGTACTTACGTTTACTTACTTGCTATAGATTAACAGAATGAATAAGCCTCTAACTGTTTACTACCGACAAGAACTGTTAAACGCGATACGATACGAAAAATTAAATCAATCTTAATGATCATAATTATGTTTATTCTTAAAAAAGATGTCGTCATTAAGTGCAATGACATACAAAAAAATAATTCAGTGCCACCTACGCCCAAATACTGAAAGGATATTCAATTTTAAGTTGTAGGTACTTAAAAATCGTGCCATCTCTGTCATTTTACAAAGAATTTGTAGAGATAGAACTATACTTAAGCGCGACTCAAAATTGAGTGGCGTTTCAGTATTTGGGCATTTGTATCGTAGAAATTATGATATTTGGACAAACCAATACGTTTTGCAGGCTCCGTGGCAGGTGCAGGGAGGGTTGAAGTGTCGACAGATTAGTTACACGCTCGGCCTCACGTCGGGACCTATAGGACCTAAGGAGGTGCAAGTCACCGAGACACAGGTTTGTAACATTGTACTTAGGTATTTATAAATTTTAATATAGGGAAACTTCTGACGGCGGTTTCACCCACAGTCCCATAAAATGTAAGCTACGTGTTATTTGCCCGAGTATAATCTACCTCTGTGCCAAATTTTATTCACATCTACTCAGTAGTTTTTGCGTGAAAGGGTCACAAACATACATACTGAAAAATGTTCACTTTTATAATACTCACATAAACAATATTAATGTGTTTTGTCAGGTAATGAACAAGTGCTCAAAGCCGGGCATGCTGTACTCGATCGACTCGACGAGTGAGAACGCCGGCATCCCATACGCGGACTACTTCAGCGTACAGGTGCACTACTGCTTGCAGCGGGTATCTGATACCCTCACCGAGCTGTCCATCTACGGACACGTCAAGTACAAGAAGAGCATGTGGCCTATGATTAAAAGTAACTATTTTTTTTATTACAACTCTCATGAAAAATATTAAATTAATTCAGAGCATTTTGGGACCTGTGTTGGCTTGAAATTGATCGAGTAACTTCGTAATATAGTTACGTGATAAACCATATGACCTAATTAATTTAAACATAATAGTCTCATGTTCTCTACCTATTATCTTCTTTATTTGGAAGCATTGTATCATCCTCTACATTGTTTTCGTGCAGCATTCCTAGAGAAAAACACAATATCGGGGTTGGAGGACTTTGCGAGAATCTTGGAGTCCCGACTGACCAGCGAGGCAGACTGCGCAGTCCCCGCCGCCAGGAAGGCGCGCAGACATCGACGGGCGCCCGGTAACTACTCATACACACTCACTCGGCTTATTTACACTCACTACTGATTCTAAAGGGCACCATACACACTTATGTCGAACTGTCAGCATCAAAGATACCATTGACAGTCTGACTGTATTATTGTTTTTGACGATTTGAGTGAACCTCAGGGTGTTTTGGTTGTATACAAGTGTTTTGGTTGTATACAGGAACTTGCTACTTAAATTGAAAGCACTGACAAGACAGATAGTAATGTTATTTTTATTTAAGTATCCGAAAATAAATGAGAGCACCTAATTTAAGAGTTGAGATGTACACATAAAAATAGTTATTCAGAATACACAATTTTGTTGTATAGGATTAAGGTGTGTATTTGTTTGTTTGTCTCGCTTGTTTGTAGATAACAAAATGTACAGTGTTGTTGCTTGTATAGTGACTAGTGTGATGTGGTATAATGTAGTTGTTTGTGTCGTGCAGTGGGTATGGTGTGTCGCGCGCCGTTTCCCCTGGACGGACTGCTCGCGCCGCGCGCCGCGATCTCTCGCCCTGTCTACCCTCTCTGTCCTCGTACAGCGACAAGACAATAAAAGATACTATCTTTACTCTTTTCCATCGCACAATTAAGCTTCGCTACAGCCTCACTGGGCTTTATATTGAAAAGAAAACTATACGCACTCATTTCATCTTAAAATCTGCGTTTTGTTAATAAAGCTGACTTTTCGTTGTACTATGACTGGAGTGGAGGTCCTAATGTGTGTCAATGAAGTGTGGCAGGATTCAATGTATGTAACATGATGAGTCGAACTGAGTGCTGAGTGAGAGTTAGTTTTACGTGAACGCGATTGTCATGTTTATGCCGTTCGGCGCTCTGATTGGCCTGCTCAAAGTCAACTAACCATTGAGAGGACTAAACACAGTATCGTCTCGATCACGTTGATGTAAAAATACTCACACTGAGCACTGTGGTATATGTAGTGAGGTGGTGTGGTAGTAATGTATGTGTGTGTGTAGCTGTGGCGGGGCCGGAGACTGCGCCGGCGCCGGGCAAGCTGGCGGGCGGCGCGCTGGCGGCGGCGCGGGTGTCGGTGTCGCGCGCCGGCCGGCCGCCGGGGTATAGAATTGAAGCATTGTGTTGGCCGGCCGCCGGCCGCGCGGCCCGCCGCCGCCGCGTGGCTGGCCGCGCTGCTGGCGCTGCTACTGCTCATCAACGCCGCGCTGTACTACAAGCTCTACTATACGGACAGAAGCGGATACGCCTTCGATATCGATGATTTACAAAGCAGGTTAGTTCCTTGTCTCATTGACTTGTTGAAGTGTAATTTGTCAAATTGTCGATATTTAGTGTCATTTCAACTCATGAATAGCAATATGGTACATATTTGAAACGAATAGTGTTTGGTGTTGCATGTAATATTTGTTCGTAATTAAAACACATCTGATCATTGATCATCATAATCTGTATTGATTGGTAATTTAACCTTTGCATTGCGTTTAGTATGCCATGAGTAACACGATGTGTTGTTAGACTGAGTAGTGGGCAGGGCCCGGCGATGGCGGAGTGGTCGGCCCAGCTGCAGGCGCACGCGCGGCGCCAGCGCGGACAGCTCCTCGCCTGGAGGCACGCGCTCGACCGGACCGTGCAGCATCTCGCGCAGGTATGAGACTCCACTCATACACGGTGTCAGCAGGTCGGGAGGCCACTGCTGAATTACTGGCCTATTCTACATAAGAAGCATTATCTCTAAATAATTAACAATGATAAAAATCTATCTAAATCCGCAGATTTTTGGTTGACATCTCATTAATTTCGGCCGTAACTCATTCCCTTTGCAGATCCCTAATTGCATTTAATAAAGTCAAGCTTTACCTTACAACTTACCAATAACTTATGTATTTCAGACGGAGCAAGCGCTGACGAAGCTATTAGAGACTATAAAGCCGTCGCTGGAAAAAGCGCAAAAAGAGGCGGAGTCTAGGGAGGAGCTCTGAACGAATTGTACGTCACTCCTGCGCACATATGGTTTTATATACAAACTAAAAAATTAAACTAGCGCCCTCTACTGACAATGAATTATTCTACATTAGTACACGCGTAAAAGTACAGGTTCAATCCAATCTGAGGGTAGCCATAATGTAGGCATAGTGTTTGAATGTACCTGTCTTTGCCTAGACTTAGCTCACGTAACGAGTATACGATTATAAGACAATAGACTACAGTACCTTTATGTATAGTTCTATATGCAACCATGTGTGCGCTTAGTGAATATTTTATCCTATTACGTCTGCTAGAGGTTTTCTCGACAGTTGCCCAAACATTAGGTCAGTACGACACATCATTCATTTTATAAAAGTTAGATTCCCCTTAGAATTTGGTTGAGTGTTGACTATTTTTCATCAGAAATCTTAAATTATAGTAATGTTGTCTACATTACGGTCGAAATTAATAATAATCTCGGGATTGATCCTTGTTTTTGATAGAAACTCCATACAGGCAGAAATCGATCTTAATAACTTTAGATTGAAATTGTTTAATAATTTTGGCAGTTAATTAACACTCGACTATAAATTACGACCAGTTCTCCTCATTCCTGGTACACAGAAAACCTCACAGATCCCCACTGTGATAAAGTAGATACAAATAATAAATATATTCCTCTAGAGAATACTGTAATCTTGTGACGTATGACGCCAAGCGATCGTACCGCGTCCAGTTTACCGCTTGTTACTCGTAAGGTAATTATAGTTTTACTTTTAAGACGGCAGAGGGGAATAGGGCCCTTCGACTAAACTAACTTATGTCCTCAATTTTAAGTCGCACTTAAGTATAGTTCTGTCGCTACACATTCTTTGTATAATTACAGAGATGGCACGATATTTAAGTACAACTTAAAATTGAGTAGTATATATTCAGACGTTAGACTTGTCCAAATTTTTGCTGTAAAAAATTTGGGTAAGTTCCCCAGTTCTAATACATTTGACGGATCGCCATGAATGTAAGATACTTAAAACGCGGAAAGCTGAAACAGATGTGTACTAAACACTACTTATATTGTGTTATTTTGTTATTTTCGGAAAAAATTAAAGGGCGTTCTGTAACATGGACGCGAACAGGCGACTTATCCTATACAAAAATAATGAAAATGAAGTAAATGTTAATACATTTTCTGAAGGTAAATTTCTAGGGCTCTATTTCTCTCAGTACTTTAAAGCCTCATACTCGCTTTTGTAATGTAATTTCTTGGAACAGTCATCACAAGTTGAAGTAGGTAACGTGTACAGTTCGAGGCTTGGGTTAGTTAGAAACGTAAGTACTTACGGCAGTTATATTAAATTACATGTATATAAATGAACAGTGCACAATATTTTAGCAACGGTTACTTGATGTTTTTAGTTGGAAAAAAACTAGTACAGTTTAACTTGTCCATCCATTATTTAATCACAAATGTAAAGATATTTTACAATTATTTATTTATTTTATTGTTCTATTTCACTAAAATATTGTACATTGTTAGTGTAAATATCGCCGGCGCAATAATAGTTCATAAAATAGTTTGTAATATTATAGAACCAATTAAAAGCTTAGGAAACGGATATAGCTTCATAGTGTATAGTAAAATTACATGTTTGCCTGCAATTTTCAAGGAATACTATTGGTATTTGATTATATTTTTTAATATATTTTATTTATTCTCGGTAATTATAATGAAAATAATAATTCTTGTGAAAGTTCATTGAACATGGTTTGCCCAGGTACATAGGAATATGTATGTAACAAAATTTTGACAGCTCTACCAAAAATTGTTAGCCATGCTTGGTATAAGGTTCCGATTGTTGCATTTGAACAGTTAATTAAACGTAAGGTATCGTGTACGTGTAGTTACTACCGCCAAACGTCGTCCTATGCGGCATAGTGCTAAGCATGTTACGGTATACAGATATTAGTGATTGCATTGCTATCAGACATGTATCGATCACAGGGTTTTCTTTCCTACTTTACTCACGAAAATAATATTGTACCTAACTTGTAAGTACGAATTACTATTATTTAAATGACGAGTCTACCTCTTGTAAATAAGTTTATCTGATCGATACATGCCTGATTCGTAGAATTAATGATCGAATTAATTATGAAACATTAAAAAATGAATCCAAAATAATGGATTCATATTTAAAAAAATATATTGATACAAAGAAATCTATCACGGTGTTGTTTAGAATATTCAGAGTATTAAATGTAAAGTAAGTAAATGTTATATAAAAGGAAAATATGTAAATTTTTCAGTTGTAGTAATGATCTCTTATTGTAACAATATTCTACTACACCTAGTTATGTTTCGGTGCTCTAGTTTTATGTAAAATGTAAATGAATTTTGTTATATTTTAAATTGATGCTTGTATATTGAAAATGTCAATTATGTTATTATTTATTGTAAAATCAATTAGATCCACAACATATTCAATGAAATGCTGAGTATTTACATGTACCTTCGCCAGGGACTGTGTAATGCGTGTAGTATATAACTGTTGTTATTGACTTATTGCAGTTGTATAATATATTTCATTCCATGTGTGAAATGATCTGAACATTAGATTAGTCGGAATGGTGGGACAAAATATTATTATAGATTCCTATTTAGATAAATACCTGTATTGTGCATTTCTTATGTGAAATGGCGTTTGTCAGTCGTGAAGAAGCGGGCGAAGGTGTAGACAGAACCACGGATAGGGATCGTAACATTCCTTTATTGTAACTTCAGTTGTGGTTCGATCATTGGCGAGGTATGTGATATGGCCATGAAAACAAACAAATTGTACTAAAAGTGAAACAAACGCCAAAGTAGTTGTTCCAGCACCAACTTCAATATAATCGTACACACGTTGAGCTCTATTCCGTAGCACTAGAGAATAGTTGTATCAGTTCCGTGTACAGATTATATGCAAGTTGTGCTGTGAAATGTAGATATGGTGGTTATAAGTTATTAGTTAATTTGTTTGTGTAACTGCAAAGCATGGTCCAATAGCACAAGCCTAAAGTCGTAAATATTCACCACTGCCCGCTTCAAAGTCCATAGTTTGTGTCAAATGAAATGCAGCCAGAAAATAGTTGGATTTATATTGCACAATTAATTCCATTTAGGTGTAATGGATTTATGTAAGTTAGACAATTCTATTCTCAGTATTGAATAAATATTTTAATGAAAACTATTTATTTTATTGTACTTTTCATGACGCGAGAAACTGATTTTTACCGACAATAGTATAAAGTGACGTGAGTACATCGATATTTATAGTTAATTTAGTATGTAGCACGGTAGTTATTATTCTTTAATATAAAGTTAGATTGTTACTTCTAAATAGCCAATATCCCCCCTCCCCCTTTCCCCTGTCAGGTGACATCCTATCATATAATTTCACACAACTATTGGAAGAATATTGTTTTGAAAGAAGAAATATACATAGCTATGTATGTTAGTCTTTTTGTTTCTTCTTTGAGACGTAGCTACGTCTTACAAGCAAATAAAATGCTAAAATCATTTGAAAGATTTATTTTTTCACTTGATGAAGGTAATAAGTAGTAATAAGTACTGAACAAACTTACCCCAGTGGTTGTAACTGGATTTGGTTGAATTTAAATCAGTGTTCTTCTTTATCTTCACAACATTCTTTCAGCTTTCAATTATGTAGAAACGACATACATTACCTTTACCATAATAACCTTACCTCACCTCTTGTATATTTATACATTTAACACCTATTTAGGTTCCAATACCAAAATTAGTGATTCACACACTAGTGCCGTACGTGCAGGGAGGAAGCCATGGGGATACATGACATACTTACCCAACCTTCAAAAAGTGGGAAAAACAAAATGAAATCAAATGAAACTAGGAGTTAACTCGGACACTGTGTCAAGATTTATTACAAATCCATCATACACAGCAGTCTGAGCGATAAGGTCTTATGCTAACTTAAGGTCTATCGTCGTCCTTGAAGACCATGGTACTGTGGCACTTGCCGCAGTAGTGACGGTCCTCCATCACGGCCATGAACACACCAGCGCCGCACTGCTCGCCCGTGCACTCTCGCCTCAAACGGTGGATCTTGCCGTTCTCGTCAACCTGGGAAATACAGAGAATTTTGTCCTTAGTAATTGGGTAAAATTAAAAATGTTCTGACGGTCGACAAAGAACAGCCGAAACCTCTGGGCGTAGTGAGTTCCAATGAATGCATTATGTTTCTTGCGAACTATAGAGCAACGATACCGGGAAAATACTTTAGTGCTTGTATAAAAAAGCTGCTTCAAAATAAAACTTTTACAAAACACTGCGAAAGCCATAACTGCGCGTTGATCTAAATTCTGTCAATCTCGCAAGCGTGTATTATTATGCAGAACGTAAACTGTTGCATCATGGATCGCAACACTAACAACGCATTGTTTAACCGGTTCCCACCGTCACGCTGTCCACCCAGCGTGATTCACACACAAGTCCCAACAGGTCTGCCTACCCCTGAGTCATTTACACACAAAATACAAACAAATCAATAGGCCTCAAGTCGCGACCTGTCTCGAGTATTCCACTCTCGTAACCCTTTTATTGCATTCCCGGGAGTTGTTTGAAATTCTCTTTTTATTTACTGACATGCTAAGTAACCCGCGTTTTCCTTGTATTGTGGCGAACACGTTTGTGCGTGTTCGAGAATAACTCGTCAGTTATCAATGGAATACTTGAGATGCTAATGGGAAATATTTGAGTCATTTCAAGTGTTGTGGAAAAAGACAACTTTCTGTTTGTTATGACGCGCAGATTAGTCGCAAAAGTAATTAAGTTCAGATTCATCACATGATCATCTTGAAATCATGATTAATTATTCATGTAAGGACAAAAATTTCTTGACTAACAAAAAAATGAATACAGAATCATTAGCGAAATTATGTTCATGTTATATCGTAGCAGTGGCCGCTATCTCTATGTATAATTTATTATGACGTGAACTCACATCTTCATTATTACCTGCTTTGAACTATACTGAAGGGTTTGTTTGTTTGAACATGCTAATCTCTGAAATTACTGATCCGATTTGAATAAGTCTTTTTCGGCTAGATAGTAGATTTATCGAAGGCTTAAAGGCTATAAAAAGTCACGTTACGATCAACAGAAGTCGAGTAGAGCGGGTGGAACCCCGGCGGAAGTAGCTAATATAAGATAAAGGCGCGAATCCTTGTGATTACGTATGTTCGTCTTGTTATGTAAGTTGCAAGCTCACCTTGTAGAACCGAAGTACGGCTAGCTTGACCTTCTTCTTCTTGTGCTTGATCTTCTTGGGAGTAGAGTAATTCTTCTTCTTGCGCTTCTTGGCACCACCACGCAGGCGGAGCACCAAGTGGAGCGTGGACTCCTTCTGGATGTTGTAGTCTGAGAGGGTGCGGCCATCTTCCAGCTGTTTACCGGCGAAGATCAACCTGGGAATAGCAAAATTATTGATGTTCAATGCTAAAATCTCGAAAATTGGGAACTTTTGAGAATTTTGATGGAAAAATAATTGAAGTTTCATTTACATACTTCCAAATAGGCTGACAACTGAATGACAAACTTTTGTTTAACAACTATATAATTACAGCAATCAATGAACCCAACATAGGTATGTGTACCCAGTAGGTGGTGTGGTACATAGAAATTAATAGCCATTATCTCCAATCATCTGTACTTTCCTACAAAATAAATATGTAGCATGATGCTATTTTGTGCGCTTTATTTTTTTGAACTTTAGATTGCTGCATGAACTGATCTAACACAATAGGTTCACCACCTGGTCATATGGAGCTTGTAACATAACTGGCAGAGTAGATATTAATTACCACCTTTGGCCCTCCCTTCGAGTAAAATTGGTATAGAAACTCACCTCTGCTGGTCTGGAGGGATTCCCTCCTTATCCTGGATCTTGGCTTTCACATTCTCGATGGTATCAGAGGGCTCGACCTCAAGAGTGATGGTCTTACCCGTGAGGGTTTTGACGAAAATCTGCATCTTGGCTCACCTGTGCACAATGGAAAAGAGACCTCATGAGTTACTTGCCTACTGTACCACAAAATACCTAATAAGTAAGTACCTACAGAAATGCAGTAAAGAATTAATCGATAAGTAAAATACATTAGTTCAGAATATTATAAAATGATACTAGCCTCAAACTTGACCGCGATCTGTCGCGGGAAGATCAAGGACGAAATACATGTATGAAACAAGTTCCGATGTGCACTGATTGTGCGCGCACACTACGCAATATGTAGCATACACCAAACTGCACTGAGTGATACAGTGAAATCAGTAAACAACAGCAATAGACAAGTATGGACCAGATTATATACAGTTCATATAAATAGTCCACAGGTAATTACTCGTGTACTCAGTTCAATAAAGACTTGCAAGTGTACAGTATTACAGTTCAGCTAATCAAATGCAAACATGTTGTGTGAAGCTCTAAGACCTAGAATGGGTAAGTAAAACAAACACAATATTGTATTTTACAGTACATATTTATTGACCGGCCAAGATAGTACAATAAATTATATCTGTAACATTATAATCATTCTCTTGGAATTGTAGATTCAAATCAAAGACACATTAACATTTAGTTTCAATCAGCTTTTACAGCTGAGTAGTTGTCAGGTGGTAAAATTTAACAATAATATTACACTAAGAGTACAGCATTGATGCAGCCATCATTCTCTGGGTTGTTGGTAACTTGAGCATATTTTCCCCACACAACTTTACCAGCCTGTGTCACCAGACCAAGTTCGGAAATGTTGATTTCAATAACAGTACCCTTTGTTATCACTCCCAGACTTGTGTACATCTGTGAGCTAGGGTTCTTCTTTACCCCGATTATTGGTAAACAGAATGTTGCTTTCAACTCGGGATGTGTGACATGAGCTTTCTTGAACCGAAGTGCCATAGGTCTGATGAATCTCTCAAACTTAGGAGGTTTACGTGTGAAGTTTTCTCCTACAAATGTGACTTTAGTGACCATACGTTTCCATGCTTTTCTTTTGGTCTTTCCTGACTTAAGTACTTTGAATACTTCTGCGTCAGCCTGTGCCCTGACTTTGGGTATAGGTACATCCCATTTTCCAGCCTTTTCTTTACGTTTCTGTTTGATCATGTTGGACAGTACCTTTGCCCGGGACTGGACATCTCTGTCCAGAAGGTACACAGGCAGTGCACCTTCAGCCACCTTCTCAGTGTTCTGTTTGACATTCTTTTCCTCATGTGCTTTGATTTTCTTTTTCATCTGAATCTTTTCATTGCGGCGTTCCTTGTTATAGATCTTGGCCTTGATACCGCGCAGCTTGCGAGCCTTCTCAGCACGCTTGTGAGGCTCACGCGCTTCGCGTTTTCTCTTCCGCTCTTCATAATCGAGCCTCCTACCGTATAGCTTTTGGTGGCGTTCGATATATTCGTTCTGCGGCATTGTGGTTGCTTATTCGGCAACTACAACAAAATTATCAAAATCAAAAGGTTTCTTCACAAACCTAACCTCTTCGATACTTGTTTTCACTATGTTTGGGGCACGGGAACTGAATTTGCGCAAACTTTAACCAAATTAATTTAACGCATTTAACCAATGCGGTACTGGTGCTGTAAACTAGCACCAGTCTTTATAATTCCACCTCAGTACTTCAATCCAACACTGATACACACGTGCTTGTATATTACCACGATCAATCTCACTTTACGACAAAAAACAACTTAATACTTTTTCTTTCAAATAATTATTTAATAGTAATACGTACACGTTCTTTATAATCACAATCGAATCTAATATTGCGCAGTAAATTGAAATTTATTTCACAAGATTGACAAACTCACCTTACGCCGACACCATGCCACATGGAAAAGGAAACGAAATTGTTTGTGGGGACTGGTATTGACAGCAGGCAAAAAGTTACTATTATGCTACTAAACAAAAGAGTAGACACAGGGCTTTTACTACGTTCTTTATTACGGGTTATGGTATTTTGCCGTATAAAATTTTTCTACGCATTGCCTTTTGAGCTTTGGAATATTACCTGCCTAAAAGAAAAACATAAACATAGTTTATGGTATTGTTTGAATATTATATTATGTCAGCGGCTTCGCTCGCGTTCCTGTGGGATAAAAAGTAGCATATGTTATTACTCTGGAATAATTTCCGTACCATAATCTACGCCTGCTACAAATTTCATCCCGATCCCTTCAGACGCTTTGACGTTAAGGAGTAACAAACAAACAAACATACAAACTTTTGCATTGATAAAATTAGTAGAGTAATAGAATATAGTAGCAAGAGAAATAAGAAGTAAACGAAAAAGCTGGCAGAATTTAAATGATGTATGTGACTATAAATGGCTAAGTAGAACAAAAATGAAAGAAGTGAATACCAAACTATAGTTAGTATATTGAAAAAAATATTGGAGAATTAGCTTCTACCCGCAGCTTCGTCCGCTTTCCCACGGGATAAAAGTACCCTATGTGGTATACTAGATCATAATCTTTGCCTGTTCCAAACATACCGATCCCTTCAGAAGTTTTGAAGTGATTGTGATTTAGTAACAAACATACACACAAACTCACATACTTTCAGATTTATAATATTAGTAAGATATGATGTGGAAGAAGAAGACTTAATGAATGCCGCGCAATAAAAACGGGTTCGATGGTATGGTATTTGAATGTAGTAGCCGGATAAGAAATGTCAATAAAAGTACAGCATTTTGGACTACTGTTTGACGTGACCGAATTAGTTTAAATACGGTTTAAATATATTATAAAGGCACATAATAGGTACTGACGCAACTATTTTTAAAATACTTAATTTACTGAACGAGCATAACACGATAAAATTTTAATGAGGTGGCATGTGATGTGACGTTACTCATTTTTAGACTGGCAACATCTGGCTTAAGTAATAATAGTAGCAAGCAAACTTTCCTAGCGCGTAACGAAGTTGTCCTAACCATTAATAAATCTTATTTTTAGGAAACGCCAGACTATCTGGCTTAAATTTGTGTTATGAAAACATTAAAGCATTACTGAGGAACAAAATTAAAACTATTCGGTAAACAACCGAACGCTATACAGGCTTACTATAATGAACACAACAGCAACCTTCTCTTCAGGTGAGTGTTGATTACGAATGTCAATTCACGGAAAATCATTGACTTCAGTGTGTGAAAAGTGCAAATTAAGGATAAAATATGCTTGCCAAGTGTATGTAGCGTCTATTAGATATCTTAATTAGTTACTAGGGAATATTATCATGAAATGGGAGGTGGTTTTTAACCGGCATCAGTGTATTTGGACTTCATTCATAGGCATTGTGCGTACATGTATGGTACATGTCAAATATCATTAACATTCCAAATGAGGTTAAACTTCTGTTTGAACGTAGGTTCGTAGTAAAAAAGTTCCGTCAACTTCTGACCAAGGTGGTTTGGTTTGATGATAACGAATTTTGTGATAGATTGATAAAAACCGTTGCTGATCCTTGTCCGCAGTTGGATTTGCGATAAATTGTTGATAAATTATTTGGTTGTAAAAGAGCGGGAAGTTATGAATTTTTAAATGTTGTTATATAATGCCAACAATATGGATTATTATGCATCTTATCATGATTATAAGCTATCTCAATATTTGTTCAGTATTTATCACTTGATAAATGTACCATGCAGCCTTTTACTTGAAATATAAATTTATATTGAAGAAAGATGCTAAGAATGAAAACCTAATTGCTGAAATACCTATTTAATAGAAAAACCAAATCATACTTATTATACTAAATTTATATTTACTTCACAATTACAAGCGTATAATGTTAAATACTTTTAATTTTTTTAAGGTCCATTTCAATATTATTTTATTTTATTATGTTGTTTGTCAAATAAAAATAAAACATTTCTAAAATTTTTAATTTTCATACCTCACTTATGTAATGTCAAAACAAAAAGAAGTATTTACTAAGTTCACCTTATGAAATTGTTTAAAACTTAGATACATAAAACATATTACATTGTACAGTGGCATATTGAGCACCACTGCCTACCCCTTTGGGGATAAAAGGTGTGATGTTATGTTGTTTAGATAAAAAAAAAAATTGCATTTTAGCGTACACAGTAAATAGCTATATAAATATGTCCTGTTGTTTGTTCCTTCCCTTTGTATATAAACAAAGAAATATTCTGCAACATATTACAGGGCATGAACTTGCTTGCTTTATCTTACATAGTATTTTATGTTACTGCTTTCACTTTTCAGGCTCATTGAGATGGCTTTTATCTTCTGTCTATAAATAAACCACTAGTCCTTTTATTCCGTAGAGGACCATGAAATGATAAATGACGTTTATTTTGCAAATAGGATGCAAAAAAGGCCTTGTAATATTTGGACATTAAAATAAAACTAAATGAGTTCTACATTTCCTACCTGCCTATTCTAAGAAGAAACAGCGAACCAGAATCCCTGTCTTTTATAATCAATGCAGCAGTAAAAAATTTAAAGTGCGCATGTTTATTCTGCGGTAGTCTAATGAAGAAAAAACCACAATGTTTAAGTGAATCTATTCTCATGGATTCTTATTAAACGGTATTATTTGTTGGAAGATATGATGACATTATAATTATACAGACATACCACTACACCTATAACTATTGTACAACTTTTAATAAGACTCCTTTTATGACATGAACATATTTTGATCGTTGCAAAACTTTTCCTAAACATTTTCGAGAAATGAAACAAAGGTAATATTGCCACGGATGTTAAGTTTGGCAGCAGAGTTAATTGTAAAATAAAAACCTTGCAGATCATTCATGGAGCAGACGGTGTTCTACAGAAACTGTGTTCAGCATACAAGGGAAGGAAACCGGTAAGTTTTGACACTGCAGCCGGTACAGTCCACTGAACATTTATGGAAACAAATAAAATCATGCACTAACTTGTTCAATTTAAGTAATAAAATATATCTTACTTATAGATCTCCTTTAATTTAACATGGATTATTAGGGTTACATTTCTGATTGGTTTTTCTTGTTTTCACAACTTATACAGATATTTTTCATAATATTAAATAAAATTGACCATCAGTTGGCCTATTCATTCCTCAAAACAATAGAAAATATATTGTGTTTTACTTAAATAGTTACATTTGCATTCCAGCCATTAAAAATATGGTATGTAAAGGCAAAAGCATATTCCAATTAGATTGCTGGAGAAGACTTCAAAATCGTAATTTGAGTTTCAGATCATTGGTAAAGTTAAACAGCATTTAAGTTTTGTATTATTGATAAATTGAAAAAGGAGAAAATGCCAGAATGAGTGGAAATCTGGGCTCATTAAAAAGTATACTTATTTTTGATAATAGTGTTTTTTTTAAAGAAGGGTCTACCTTAATGTGATGTCTATAATAATTCTTGTCTAGGCTCCGTTATCTGTCTTCTTAATATCATGTTACCATAAATGTTCAGTTGAGTGTACTACAAAGTTATTCATAATATTGTTGTCTTGCGACTGTTCCAGTTTTTTTGTTGTTGTGCATGTTTATATTAATCTATTGTGTTTTGTTTATTTATCTGTTTGTAATTAGATATTTGTGTAGTTATTTGTAATGCATAGTTTAGATATTATATTTTATGTATGTAAGTCTTTGTTTGTAATCTTGTGGTATTCATCACTTTCAAGTACTATCATTGTATATTTTGAAATATATATATAGTTTTAATATTTTTTTAAGTACTTAATCAGATTCATATTCAAATTTTAACTAAAAATATACGATTTTTTCTTATTCTGTACCATTCTTAGTAGATCCTATGTGCTGTAATAAGTATGTAAACCTATAGTAAATGAATCCTTTTTATTAACGGCTTCTTTCTTGACAGATACTAAAATAACTGCCGCTAGTACTCCATTCGTAACTTGTCCTATGGTCTCTACTTTAATCTATTTTAAAATAATTCTAACATCTAAACCTTCCTACGTCTTTGATATGGTTCGACAATGAAATATGTTTACATCACATAATCTGCCCCCTGCTTTGAAGAAAAACAGGTGTGATGATCTCTTTGTGTTTATAAATTTCATGTCCATGTTCAAGTTTAAACTTGACGAAACACTCATTTTTAATCTATGACAACAGATTATAAAGATTATAGCTGCCCCTTTCTTTTCTTTGCTATTGAACAAAGAACAACTTTTTATTTGGAGAATCGACGTCCAATCATATAATTAGGCGGCAATTAGCGCATTTATCGCGAAATTGTGATAAATGTATTTTTGCGGTATTTTTATGACTATTCCGTTTTAAAATACAGATACTGAAACACGTCACAAGTGTAATAAGTGTTTTACTTTTTTATTGTTTATGCAGAAATAAGTATGTTAAAATATTCCCCTTGCAATAGGGGGCGTAGGTAACTTAATGAATCAACCACATACCTACGTATAATTGAACCTACAGTCTACAGTCCAACTTGTCTGTTAGTATTGGTACCTATATTTTGCTAAACAGGAAAATTTAGTTATTCTAAAACAGTGTGATAGCAATAAGCTAGCCCCTATTTCCCGGACCTCAAGTAAACCATATTGGGAAGGTTATTTTACAATTAATACACATACCTCTGTCTATTCTATGTTACCTATGTAATCAGTATCATGCACTTAGAACCTTCCTTCAATGGTGTCTGTTAAGTCTATCAGGTGACTGGCCATTGTTTTACCCCTATTTATCACACAATAGGATTCCTAGCTTAAGTTACAATACTGTTATCTACACTACTAGATATTACATTCTTATATTCAATACTTAAGTTATTCTTCTATCTATCACGTTCGCTTCGTATCGCCCACGCATTTAAGTCGTGCTTTGATGCTTTGGCATATTTAGGAAAAAAACTGTGACACAGTATTGCATATCTTCTAGTAGGCCTACTACAGCCTGTAGCTATTAGCTACAGTCTCAGCTTAAGCGTTATTTTTTTAACGTTTTTGTGTAGAATATTAAAAAATAATATATATGTTGTATGTTGATTAAAAGGCCCTGCTCATTCGACATGGCATTTTGAATTGACTTTCTCAATGCTTTCCTTTACCGAAATATTATGGCAGATTTAAATTTAATCAGTTTTTCCTAAACAATGATTAGATTAGTGATATCCATGGAAAATATTGTTCAAATATCAAATGTCACATCTGATAAAGTAATGTCTTATGAGTACTTAAAGTTTATTCAAAGTACAGTGAAGGGAGCAGGGCTTGTATTCTGCAACATCCTTTTTATTTTCAAAACAAGTTCCTTCTAAGGATATAGTTCTGTACTGTATATATTGTACACTCTATACAAAAATCAAGCTTAAGTAGTTTTCCAGAAAAGCATATTTTTCTTGTGGTGTTTGTAATAAGGTTCACTCGACGAGCAGGGGAGTGGAAAAATGAAATGCGTGTTGTCAACATGCAAGTGTATTAGCGACTAAAAAATATTACATAAAAATACTGTTTTAACCATCGACTTGACGTACCTATGTATAGTTAGATATATGGAACTGGTTTGTGAGCAGCCACGACAATTCTTACATCAACATACCGCCCACCAAAAGGACTTTAAGTTCTTTTAAAAATAAAATAAGATAATTTAGTTATCTAGGTACCTACGTACATTATGTGAAGTTATATAAAGCAAGGTTCAAAACGTACAAAAATGCAATCTACAATATAAGTTCAAGATAAATCAATTGACTTAAATTTCTTATGAATTATAAAATGTAACAATTAATGATTCAATAAAAATCGTTCATGTCTAAGTGGAATCAACCGGCAGTGCACATAACTTAGTAACTGTTCTCTTCGTAATAGAATTTCCATTTTTCACACTATATACTCTGGTATGACCATCTGCGCCTGGATGTTTTTCTATAATTCGCCCTAAAGACCATTTTCCGGGTGGCAGATTATCAGTCTTTATCAACACAATATCGCCTATTGAAAATTCTTTCTCCTTCTTCATCCATTTAGGACGCTGCTGAAGTCTAGTCAGATATTCTTCTTGCCATCGACGCCAAAAATCGTTCAGGAGCTTCTGTGCGTGTTGCCAACGTGTCAAATTATGCATTTTCACAGCTTGAAAATCAGGCGAGGGTACCACTATAGGTGGTTCCCCTATCAAAAAATGTCCAGGAGTTAATGGATTTACGTTTTCTGAGTCAGTATCATCGATAGGACATAAGGGTCGTGAGTTAAGGCAGGCTTCTATCTGGCACAATATCGTCGTCAATTCCTCAAACGTGAAGTTAGTAGTTATTATGCGTTTCAGATGGTATTTTATTGATTTAACGCCTGCTTCCCACAATCCTCCGAAATTCGGGCTGTATGGTGGAATAAAGTGGAATTGAGTGCCATCGGCAGTTAGTGTATTTGCTATTTCTGTTGTCATCTGTGCTTCATTCCATAACTCATAAAGTTCTCTACCTGCTCCCACGAAGTTTTTACCTCGGTCACTCCACAGATGACTGCATTTACCTCTCCTGGCAACAAAACGTCTAAATGCTGCGATGAACGCTTCTGAGGTAAGACCTCCCACTAATTCTATGTGGATTGCCTTTGTGGACATGCATATAAATATTGCAATATATGTTTTAGTTGTTTTGTTTCCTCTGCCTTTAGACACTAGTGTTTGAAACGGTCCTGCGAGTCACCTTGTAGCACATTGTATAATTCTTCATAGATAAAAAATTCATCATTCATGAAATAAGGCAAAGTCCCTTTATGAGCTTTTGGTGTTATCTTCACTAAATCTTGATGAGCACACTTAAATGTATGCCAATATTCATCTATAATCTTCATTCGCGCTTCGATATAACCTTTAGTTAACCGTTGTTTAGGACATTTTCTCAGGTTACTTTGAGTCTTCTGTAACAGGTTAGCAGTATCTTCCAACACGGAGAGAAGTTGTTGTTGTTCTTCGGTCGAACACATTTTTCTTGATAACGAACCTCTAATGCAGCTGATTCCCGATGTGTAATGTCGTAATGACGTCTTCTAATAAATTGTAGTAAACAACTTGCTAATTCGTGGAATTGAATAGGTGCAAAAAAAAAAGGTTCGCTTATCGCTGCTTAGGAATGCGGCCTTTTGTTCTCCTGGCTCGACGACTTGACTGTTGTATCCGGCTCGAAGGACCATATGGTGTTTGTAATAAGGTTCACTCGACGAGCAGGGGAGTGGAAAAATGAAATGCGTGTTGTCCACATGCAAGTGTATTAGCGACTAAAAAATATTACATAAAAATACTGTTTTAACCATCGACTTGACGTACCTATGTATAGTTAGATATATGGAACTGGTTTGTGAGCAGCCACGACAATTCTTACATCAACATCTTGTTTATCTTAAATCCTATGAGAGATATTTTTTTGAGCATTTTTTTTAATGTTTTGTCTAATAAACAGTCATAAAATCACCACATTTTATTCACTGAAATGGTAAGCAGATAGAAATAATAAGTACCGACGTACAAATGCGTGTCTGACACCCGTCCAAAAATATTTCCTTCACGCTTCACGCTTCTTTCTCACCGCGTCATCGTCAGGCAGCATTCAGTGACCTACCACCGCGACTTGTTCGAACATGTCCAACTAACGATAATTTTGGAAAACAAATATCTTTTATCAAAATTAATTACTTCAAACCAACACACCTGTTTTTCCCCATCGGTATCGATTGGTGTTATCGCAAATAATCTTTTGTTTTTATCTCTAATCGTGGCCTATATAAATGGCGGTTTTATGATAACGGTTGTCATTTGTGTCAGCTTCAATATGAAGAGGACGTTTTCATTCGTTGTATATTTTATTCCAATTTCAAGTCAAGACAGGTATTTTATAGGCGGTTAAAGAGTTTAGGCCACTTTCTACTAACATATTTTATATATTTTGTGCTTAATATTTTATTTAAGTATACGTTTAACTTTTCTAAAATAATGTCTAAAAATACATTTTTCTTATAATTATTTTTATTTTAAAATTATGTAGAAGCAGGATGAAGAGTAGTTCCTGTGTAAGTTTGACCGATTAAAAAGATGGTCGTGAGTACACTACCCAGTACAGTACACAAGGTGTAACAGAATTAGTGCGAAATCTTGCTGGTACTGGCCCAGGACATGAGACTGAACAACGTTTGTTATTGCACTTTGTGAACACAAAAATAAATAAATAGACATTATTTTCACAAGTCAACTCTTTTCTCCTCAATTTCCAATTGTGTTAAAACAAAAGTTGTTTAATTTTAATCTGATCCAGTATCTGCAGTTATGCGTTTATTCTGTTACACCATTTATGAAACACGGAGAGTTGAATTCCAACCTAACCAACAGGCAACAGCACATCAACCTACACTTTAAAAGCTTCAAGCTAATTTCGACCTTAGGACTATAGAAATAAGGTTGAAAATCGATTGAAGGAATTGACATATTAGGGTACTTTGATAAGCTGCCGTCCGGTCATGTAGTAAAGTATGTACATAAGTACCTACATATAAGTAGTCATTCCACAAGTCGAAGTTTATCTAAAATGACGTCCTCAAGAGGATTTTGAGCCGATGTTGTGAGAAGTATTTGCATATTAATAAACATGAGTATTTTATGATATGTGTACTTTGAATACCACCTACTCATTAATCATACATACTGCTCTTCACTGAGATTTAATATCAGCACTATTTATAAAAATACCCTTAAAAATGTGCTTATGGAGTATGCATTTTAAATGCTGACGTTAAGTCCGAACTGTCAGTTAATAACCTACTTAAATTATTAAATAAACACACGGTAGAAAGTAATAATCGGTAGAAATCAAACCAACATATCTCAATACTACACTATGGAATCTATAATTTGGACTTTATAATAAAATGTCTTCAATTTTAGTTATCATAGAATATTCAAATCGTCCAATAAACCCATTACCTATACTGTCTATGGTAGACACAATCAACTCGCACAGTGTACTAATACAAGACTATATATAAACTTCCTGACCTAATTCAACAAGTACAATGAATAATATCCTGCGATACATCCTGCCTAATTATAACAATAAACCTTTTCTAATAATAAACGAAACCCTGTATACTAAGGGGGAACTCCCCTACCGTTTATTTCCGTATAAACACAACAAAAGCCCTTACGAATACAACATGTTTGTACCATTAGTCAATAGTTAGTACCCTACTTGCACGAACAAGTCTAAACTTGTATCTAGCATTACTAATTTTGAGTTTCAAACCCAGATGCGAGAATAACGTCATTTTAATTATCTATCTAAAAATAGTGGCGGAAGTGCATTCCTTGTTAAAGAGACTGGCCAGTCATTGACCTGGTCATTTGTTAGACCCGTTCACGCCTAGGTTTTGGTCTTTTTACTTGATTGTTAGAGCTTATTTTGTGCTTATAGAAAAAAAGGTCTGGATGTGTTTACATCGCAAGTCATTGGTGCAAATAATGACAATGATCCGTTCTATGGATCTTTAAAATAAATATTTGAAATATTTATTTGACATCTGTTGAAGCAGCTGTAAAAGATTTCTAAAAAACTAATAATTAAAAATTATAGCTTTTAGATCCCGTTATAAACTGGAATAAAAAGCAGTCATTTAAATAAAAGAAATAAAAATCAAATTGATTAGAACAGGTGGAGTAATATCTAAAATATAGACATCTTAATTAAAGTCGACAAAAAAAAACTAATGGATTATTACCATAAGATACAATGGAACAATATTCCTACCTCTGATAGGCAAACAATCAGTGAATACTTGATTTTAACAAGAACTGTAAATAGTCACAGAGACGTCGCGTCGTGACAAAAACGTCACGTTTTTCCAACGTGAGCGGCAAATATGTGGTGTACCAAAAACTGCAATGTCAACGTCCTTGTTCTATGCAACGACAAGTTTGAACAAGACTGTAAACTTGAAATGAGTCAGACTGTTCGTCCGTGGGCTGTGTTACGTCACCGCATGCATAGTAATCTACATTGATATCCTTATCTAACCATCATTTATTTTAAATGCAATTGCGGGAAATTTTGTGCGCAATTTTCCATGATCATCATGGCTTACTGGTAGCTCTGCGACTTCTTCTTGAGACAGTTGATGACATTATAACAATGGAATTATGCAAAAAACTATACAGAGATACCTGGTCATCAAGCAAATCCTCCAACAAAACCTTGATGGATTTTCAAATTATGTAATTGCAAAATAATAAGATCGAAACTCTTCAGATAGAAGCAGCTAAACATGTTGCTGTTTTTACTTTTTGTACAATTAAGACGTATACCAGAAGTATATATAAGTTTATACTGTGGTGGAGGGACCAAGGAGGTTTTAAGAGAATATTTCATACATACTCATGGCTCTACTCCCATTATTTTAAACCTGGTAATCCCACCTATATAATATTTCATAATATCTTAGAGGTTCAATCCCTCTATTTGAAGAAAGGAGTGACTTGATACTAAGAATTTAACATATGCATTGCATAAAAGTGTAATATAAGATGGCACTGTTCGACACCCGACTTACAACGCATTTTATCTGCATGTGAAACTTGAATGAGAGTATGTCATTATTAACACAACGATGATAATTACAATGTTTCAAAATACAGTTAAAAGTTATTTAGAAAACTAATTAAGAAGTACTTAAAGTGCTAAAGTGTTACTCAATATCAACAAAATTTTAATGTTTCATGTATTTTTGCAATAAAAAACTTTTTCCCTCTACATACACTCTCAAAATGATATTTTTGGTTTATTTTATGTAAAGACAAATATCTTTTTTTGTCTTTTCTAAAAATGGAATGGCCCTTTAAATTGCTGAATAGCTGGTATGCCATAGTTTCTAGTATTATGGTGTTGAGTAGTATTTATCAGTAATATTAACATGTTAATGGTGGTTGTCAGATGTGTCTGAACTGCAACTGGTGGACCCAGCAGCCATGCCCGGGGTAGTCACCGGATCCAGTGGACCCGAAGACATGACTGATGATCATTATGCGATGTCACACCAGACTACACTAAAATTAACTTACTTTAACTGTTTCTGACTTGCAATGTTCAATATGACGAGATGTAATTGGAATACATTGAGACTCCCGAGTGCAAGTGTTCACAAACGTGTCAGGAAGGTCGATTGATCTCTTAACCGACTTTTTCAAAGGAGGTTCTTTATTCGATGACTTTTGCGTCTGTGAATACTTAGTGCACTCGGGCACTTGTTTGGCGAAGTAATGTCAACATCGCCAAACTTGTGACACATAATCCTATAATGTACACGTCTGATGTCACCGTAATTTAATCATCATCTTATTTTATACCTCTCTTACAATATTCTGTTAGTATTTGTTTACTATCTGTAATTATGAACATATTTCAAATTCAGGTTCTCCATTCGCTCATAACAACATTTATTTTAATTGATCATTCTCAAAACCTTAGCTTGGATGATGCGAGTTGTTTAAAAACAGGATAATTAGCTTTGATGGTGGAGGAAAATATTAAGGAAACTCGTGATGTGGTCGGTAACGCCCAGTACATGGAAATAACTAATGCTACGTCGAGTGGAGGGTTTCACACAACTTGTTACTCGAGTGCTGTACTTCAGAACAATGACAGACACTTGAACAAACATTTGTTTTCTTCAAAGTAAATATCGCGCGATGATGCGCAGTTTAATGGCGCATGCTTCCACCTTAAGCCAAAATGAGACTTAACTTGTATATGCTAAATGCTTAAATGACTTTATAACAAGCCAATATAGCACCATGGCTGTCGATTTCTTCTCTATATTTACCCATTCTTGCTAAATTCGCAAGGTAAGTATCAATATGAAAAAAGTTTGATCATTGCACGCCCATAAATGCACCCCTATGTGACAACCCTAATTTGAAATATGTTTTTGTGTGATTGTAAGTACTATTGATTTTAGTGTAATTGTAGTATTTAAATTATTAATATGGTTGTGGTAATCAGTAGGAAAATGTCTGAGTATTTGCAACGTTACAGATTTCTAGGGAATTTGAAATATGACTTATTAGTGGTTGTCAGATTTCACATGATTGTTAAATGCTTTAGTCACGCTTGACGCGTTCATACTTGTATCATGGATGATGGCAACTATATGTGAAATTTCTCATGTATACTTACTCAGTGCTTTGCCGACAAGAACAGACGTATCTTATCGCCTGATCCCCAGCTATTCTTCGATGTATTTGAACAATCAGCTTGGACTTACCAAAATGTATACTGCCTGCTTCAGTCATGTATATTATCATGATTTATCAGAATTTTTCTACTCTTATCACAGCCATATCTGCATGTATTTTAGTGTGAAAGTGTGTAGATTAAACTATATGTATGTCGATATGTTTAAATTGGCAATCAAAAAATTACAAAACAAAACAAAGACTAAAAAAAACAATGAGAAAGACAAGATCGAAAAAAAATAAGGCACAGACAGACATTAACACTAATCTAAAAAAAAAAATAACATGGTAAAAAGAGAATTTACTGGAAAAGTAGACTGACCAAAAAAAAGGTTGAGAATAAAAAAAAAATTTGATGAAAGAATGGGATTTGAAGAGAACAGTTACAGGCCCAGGTAGCCAGCCATGGCGGGACGGTGCAAGGTTTGATGGCTGCACGGCAGTAGTTGTACAGAGGCTGAACAGTATGTGTGTTGTAGATATTGCGCGCGATACGAGCGATACGGAAGCGGCGGATAGCGATGCGACCGACGCTAGCGATGTGGAGTACGAGCCGGTGACGGAGCCCGAGGACATCGGCCCCGTCGACGACGATGATACTTCTGCCAACAGCGACGTAAGTCACATTAATTACATCCCTCGATCAATGGCCGAAATTAACATTGACGCCCGCATACTGAAATACTACTCAATTTTAAGTTGTACCTAATATCGTGCTGTCTTTGTTATTTTATAAATAATTTTTAATGACAACTATTTTTGAGAGTGCCATAAAATTGAGTGGCGTTTGATTCATAGCCAATCTTAATAAATAATCCAGAATTTTGGTAGAAACACCACGCAACTAATATGAACAAGAAGGTTATTATTTTCGGCCATAAGTCGATCGCAGAAGGACTTTCAGAAGACCAGTTTCAATAACCTATCGATCTGTTGATTTGTTTACTATAGAGACAGAAATTTGATATAAGATTTTTTTTTGTCTCTGCATCACCCAAAGGTCTGGCTGGAGAAGTCCACCTTGTACATTAGTGTGTGCATGAAACCTTTTAAATAAAAATAAGCTCCGTATATTTGTCTAAGTTATATCTCTAGTAAGCAATGCTAAAACTGCGAAGGCACGTCTGGAATGAGAGCCAAACTAGCTTGTGTTCTAGAAAAGTTAGCATACTAGCCGTATTATCGTAACATCGCATGGGAATAGCTTAATACAATAACTTGCGAAACGACTACACTTATTGTGTAAAGTTTTGGAGGTAGGCTACAAAGACAAGTGAATGAAATTGTTTGAAATCTGGACGAAATGTTAATAAAGAATAAAGAAACGATACAACTTGTTTAAGTAAAGCCCACCAACCACCAATCACCGACGTGGTATTTTTGTAAAGAAATCTTTATTGTATAGAGGTTATAAATGTGCTATACAATATCTTTGACTATTTATGTTAGCAACAATGCTTAGGAGCCCTTGGTGTCTGATGGCAGTGGTACCGGACTCAAAGTATAGCAAAAGTAATGAAACATATTTTTTTTTTACTAGCTACTTCCGCGCGGTTTCACACTCTCTGCTCAGCTCCTATTGGTCGTAGCGTGGTGTTTTATAGCCTATAGCCATCCTCGATAAATGCGCTATCCAACACAAAAAGAATTATTCAAATCCGACATGTAGTTACGGAGATTAGCGAGTTCAAACAAACAAAAAAAAACAAACTCTTCCGCTTTATATAATAGTATAAGATATTAGATTAGTATTATGGTATTGATTACTGTAAAAGTTGTTCTATTCTCAATATTTTATATTATATTGCTTTTATAATTAGTTTAATATTGAATGTAAATGTTTCAGAACGACATAATAGCGACAAAGGTGATCGAGGTGTCGGTGGGCGACGATGGCGAGCTTCAGTTCGCGGACTCGGAGCGCACGGACTCGCACGAGAGTGACAGCGACATTGATCTGTACGACTACTGGAACTGTGCGCAGTGTCGCGCCGAGAACAACAACCCTCTCTATAGATACTGCCATAAATGCTTCCAGGTAATTTAATTGTGTTATTGTCTAAACTAAAAACTGTTTTCAGGTAAGCTTAGGTAGATTTGCAATAAGGACTCTTTGCTCATCAGACAAATAAATAAATCTTTACTCATAACAATGGCCAACATAGATACAAGAACATCTTAATTAAGCGACAAGATCTACAAATTGAACCACTGCGCAAATCTGTGCGTCGAATATAGAATTAGCTAGTGTTACCCCATTTGCCATTCAATTTAGATAACTACAGAGATTAGACAAATAAACGTCCCTCTATATAAGCGCCATCTGCTGTTCAAAAACCGGTAACCCCATTGAACAAAGTATCAAACGGTTTTCAAATGTGGTTTTCTACAGCGGACATTTTTCTTGCTACGCAGAAAGTGATCGATGCTAAGGTAGTAGCAAATAGCACGTTATAATTACTGCCTTCCGCCACAAGACAAAGATGAATGAGTTCTAACTGACTTGACAATCATTACAGGTTCGGAAAAACTTCTTCCCGCCGAGACCGAAACGCAAACGGAACAGGCTAACGGACACGGACAAAACTGATGAGATTCCGCGCACACTGTCACAGGACTCCGGAGTGGACTCGCCCATGAGCCAGGAGGTGGACGTGCCCACCAGCCAGGAGGTGGACCCCAACTTCGGTGAGGGCACGTCTGGTAACGCTAAATCCGACCTTAGCATAGCTCGTAGGTACCGTAAGCGCCGCGCCGAGTCTGCCGACCGACGTACCAAACGCAAACGTTTATCGCGAACCGATTCTGACACTGATCTTGATTCGGACGACGATAGCCAAACGAAAATCGACGTGCGACCCCTCGTTAAAACTGTTAGCGATCCCGCGATCACCATTGATGATAAACTCCCCGTTAAGATCACTAAAAAGGTGATAGCGAACACTTTGATGGACAAGTTGGAGGATCCTAAGAACTTGTGTATGATTTGTATATCGGAGCCTAAGTCCGGGGTGTTCGTGCACGGGCGGATAGCGCACATCTGTTGCTGTTACAAGTGCGCCGTCAAGGTGTGGGCCAAGGCCAAGCGGTGCCCCGTCTGTAACTGTAAGGTCAGCAACGTGCTGAAGGCGGTGGTCATGTAGGCGTCTTGATGACCTCTGGACGATCACTCACAAACAACTCCCATTATATTAGGTCCCTATACCAATTCATTTCGTGTGCAATGTTCTTGTTGATTATTAATTACCCCTAAAATGAGCTCTACTTACGAATTAGGAATAACAAAATTCAAATTATATTATTTATATGTTTCTTATCGTCCACATAGGTCGCTAGTTAGGATTCGGAGTTGACATAAGGCCGGGAATTACTTTGTAAGTTGAAGGCTGAGTGGATGGAAGAATGAGACAATGGTGGTCAATTTCAGGTGAGTATGGAATGGTACGAATGAATGAGTTATGCTGTTTGTACATAATGGCTGATGGTGGCCTTATTTGTATGTTTTAATATTAAAATATGATATCGGAATTTGTGATATTATACTATTGTCATGCAAAACTAAAAGATGTTACAATTCAATTAATAGATGCTTAGTTATTCCGGTTTTTTTCCTGGCTAATATAACTGGAAACATTCTTGATATAATTTTGGTGCATCTGTCAGTTTTACTGCACCATAATATTAATATGTCGTTGGTGCAATTCATATAAATGTCTTAGAAGTCTCTTGTGCAAGTGCCAAGCACCTTGTGTGTTAGACATATAGAATTATATTGTGTGACATGTGTATATATTTAGGAAAAATAATTGATATTATTAATTGTTAAGGTGTGGTCAACAAGTCATTATGTGTGGACATCATCTATGTGATTGAATGTATGTTGTAAAACGACGTCAATTAGATATAAGTCTTCTATATACGGTAGAGATTTCTTTAAATACAAGCGTACTAGCTACTTCCGCGCCCATTAATCGTGGCGAGATGTTTTATAGCGTTTTCAAATCTGGCCAGTAGTTCCTGAAATTAAGTCGTTCAAACAAACAAAACTCTTCAGCTTCATATTATATTTTTTTTTATAAAAAAAGGTCTGTATTTTGATATCTATCATTTTATTGGTTTTCAGTGTAATAATAATTTATCACTTGATATATTCAATACAGATTTGATTGAGAACTTCTAATCTCACTCCATTTTCGCAATTGTAGCAATTAAGAACTGGCGCCATCTACATAAATTATCTGAAAGAGGTAGTTACGTTAACATTTTCAAGTGTAGGTGTAATTAAAAATGTTTAAGTTTTGCTTTTAGTTCAGTAATTAGGTAGTTCTACCTGGAATGTTTTCCATCCAGGAGGTGTGAAAATCGGCAATTTTGTAGATTCTGATGTGCTCTTTTTGATTTCCATTTTGCACCTTTGTACGTGCGCCGCTCGCGCCACCATATTGGAAATATGACAGCTAAAAACTGTTTTTTACAACATCTCTTTTCCTGTGCATTTAAGAGAAAACCCTTACCTACAAAATTAAACTACTTAAAATTTTCTACAATTAATGTATAGACAGCTTTTTTGTAATATATTATAGTTTTGGCGCCAGAGCGCCGCAAAGTACATTCCAAGAGTATTTATAAAAAAAAATTTAAACCATGTAAAAGTAGAGAGAGTGGCACATTTTTTATAGTATAGTCTTTTATAGGTCTAATGCTCATGTGATAGTGGTACACACTTTAGGAATGGACCACAATATCCGGCAAGGGCCGGTATTTCCTACGGTAACACCCACGTTTCCTACTTTATTATCGGACTATTTACAAAAATACTAATTGAAATGTAGTCTGGACATTTTTCACTGTAAAAAGTTATCCTGTAGACTGGGTCCCACTACTGGACAGATACATTTTCGTGCATGGTGAAGGAAGTACACGATTTCGGACCTAAAGTTTCAACGTCCATGTTTCTTCGAATGTTGCGTTGCTATTTCAGCCACCAACCATCCACAGCTTAACATATGCCTTCTAGATCAGCTAGTTACCTTAAATGTTACTCTGAAACTGTTCAAACAAACTTCAGTTTATGTTCATCTATTACAGAAGGAAACTGACCTTAAAATATTTTCCAATGAAAAAATCTTACATAAGTTCTTAAATTTAAAGAAATCTCTATCTTTTATAATTTTCGAGCTATCAATTAATGCCCTTAACTCTTTGTGATAACAATCTGATAATGTAGGATCGTAAGTAGAAAGTAGATAAGAAAATCACGGCAAACTTAGTTATAGTATATTAACTATATATTTAAATTCATGTTCTACATACATTAATAGCAAAACTTAATATGGAGTTAACTACCAGAGACTTTTCTTTGAAACATTATCAAATTAAGTATTTGTCTTATGTAATTATCATTATGATAAAGTTCATTTCCGTTAGAGTTGTATTTCGCCGGGACACCGTGGCGCCGCTGCCAGTCGCCGCTACCAACAAAATGTATACAGCTCTATAGAGATTTGGTGTCCGCTTGGTTGAGCAACCAGTGTGGTGGCTCGACTAGGTCAGCAACACAAAATGTGATTGGTCGCGCCACCACTAATTACTATAACCTCTTATGGTGTCTCATTCACTCAGCCACCTGTCCGAGGTTCATTTGGATACGGTCAGTGGGTTGTACCGACTAGTTTAGTAGCTTGCGGACACCATGGCGGCGAAAATGGTTGCGTAACCAAGTAGACACCAGGTGAGCTACTCTCACCATGACTATAGAGTTATGTACATTGTGTTGGTAGTAGGGACTGGTTACATCGCCGTGGTGTTCCGGTGAAATACATCCCTTAGGTACCCGAAGGTATGTTAGTCTGTCGGTCACACAAAGTTAAATTACAAGCAATATGTTCTTCATTACACTTCCTGTTTACATTACATGGGGATTACATATAAGTAGACTAGGCCTAAACTGCGGTCTTCCAATCTGTAAATAGGTAAAAATACCTCATTTGCCAAGCTATTAATGTGTGGAACATGTCCTATGTATAAAAGTGTTAGTCTCCGCTCCTGTTATGTAAATACTATTTGTAAAGAGGTAGAGACGTCAACCACCGAAACAGAAATATTAATATATTTTCATTTTAGTTAGGGATCTTCTAAAATTATAAACAGTATCGGCTATATTCGTGTTAATGCCAAAAAGAAACATGATGATTATCGTTAAATTTTTAAATTTAGGTTTTGTTTTTGACATAATAATATGTTGGAACACTTCATGTGCGTAGTTTTTAGAAAACGATTATAAATGTGAGGTAATCATGAAGTGTTTTAGGCTGAAATTATTCGAACGTGGTGGAACGTAAATGATGCGTGTTACATTGCGTTGTGCGTGTCAGAATCATATATTATTAAATTAATTCATGGTAAAATGTTAAAACACCCGTTAAACTGTTAAAAATTATTTTCAATGGGAATGTAATACACTATTTTGGTTACCAATGTACAATATTCATTTGTATCCTTATAGACAATTATTTAGTGGACTTTTTATTCACCGTCGCGCTTTTCCTGAGTAATTGTTGCTTCTCCCATTGTGTTAGTGGTTAAAAGGTGTATATTTCAAATATATTTCATTACTGTATATTTATTCTATGTTTAGTCTGACAATTCTAAGTCAGAATTTTCGCGACTTCGCTGTTTATAACTTGCAACATTTAGCTTAGGGTAATCTAGATTTATTGATATTCAATTTTATACCTACTTACGTGTAATTATATGATTGATCTTTTAAAATCTAACCCACCATCCCTCCTACCGGACAGAGGATATTTCTTGTTACACAGTTAAAGATTTATTTCAAAATAAAAAGATATTAGTTATTATTATTATTAAATTGTAGATCTCCTATTATTTTGTACAGAATCTAGATTACGATTTTTTGTTTAAGTTTCCAAACATGTAATTACTTATTCACTTTAAAAAAAAATGAAAAAAAATATACGTTATCGAAAAAGATTATTCGATATAACAAGAAAAAAAGAATTAATAATAAAACCTTTTTTTTTTCAGCAACTTTGACTTTTTTTGATGTTTCCCTATACCCTTGTATCTTGTTTATTATACAATACATATTCTACTATGCAACTAAAGTTTTCACAGTAGTCAAATACTACTAGCAGAAGAACGAAATCTTCTAAAAGTAAAAAATGTAAATGGATAAAATATAGGACTGCAAAATAATGTTTTTATTGATGTTTATGCCTTTCATGTCTTCATAGTCCTTGCACGACACACAATTGAGGCAGTTCAAAGAAAAATCGATTTTGGTGGCACACATAAAATACTCAGACTACGATTTTACTGACTAGATGGCACTTAGGAGTGGTAGGCCTATGGCCTATGGTATGGCCTAGGATTTGCTACTTGTAGTGCACAAGTAGATGTCAAGCTACCTTTGTACGTACAAGATGGCGCTAAAGTACCTTGTACTTTAGCGCCATCTTGTTACCAAAAGAGTGATAGCTCATGCATGCCTAAGTAACAAGCGCCATCTAGTGAGCACGTGATGTAAGCAAATAAGCTCTATCTCCATCGAATTTAAAAATATTTCTCAGATATTTTTTGATAGCTTCTAGTTCCGGTTGACTCAAGCAAACATTCATGTTTAGTGAGAAGATATAAAATCTAAGATTTTCTACTGATAACGAACGTCACCTATTGGCGCGTTGATATCTAAAGGTTATCAACCTTATACTTATAGCACGTTTTATGACTAACCTGCTTATCCCAAAATGGCAGTGACAATAGAGTTCTTATCGTCATTACGTGCCTTATTTATTTTCTATTAATGATTGCTTTGTTCCTAATAACATAAGCTGTTACAATTATCTATTGTTTTTAAATTAATATAAAAAGCCCTGAATTTCCGGCTGTTTGCTGGGTATATCATCAAGTTTAGTGTGACTACCGACTTGAATAAAAAAAAAACGCTGCCCTACACTAGGATATTTCCTATATCGTGTAGGTGCTTTTACAAACTCAAATTCACATACATTCAGACCCGGAATAACGATTTGTGAATCATACAAAGAGTGGCCGCACCTTGGTCCTCAGGACCGATTCTAACTAAGAAAGATACTACTGGATTTATTGAGAAGTGTATCAATAGCTAGTGAGCTTCTGCCCGCGGTTTCGCTCACGTTCCCATTGGTTCAAAGTAACCTATGAGTTATTTCAGTCCATGATCTATCCCTGTTCCAAATTTCAACCCGACCCTATCAGCCGTTTTGGTCGCGGAGAACCTAACGGGTTGCCGAGGCTCCGGCTCGAAGTGCAGGAGAAGGAACGGGGTGGTTTTAGTCAGTAAGAGTCTGACACTCTCTCCCGCCTCACCCAGAAGGGAGCAGTCATTCGATGACTTTCCCCACTTAAAAAAAAATCAGCCGTTTTGACCTGATTGAGTGTCAAACATACACACAGGTTTTCGAATTTATAGTATTAGTAAGTAAGTAGTAAGTGGCATTTATAGTATTAGTAAAAAAATAAAGTTTGATTTCGATGTGAAAATTATGTATGTGTCAACTGTCGCGTCCGCAGCTTACTTTTAAATGAAGGAGTGTAGTTGTGAGCTCCTGTCTTGCAACTTGCAAGGACACTTCAAGAGCCATGTTTCGGCACGAATGGGCCGGCTCGACCAGAGTGCTACAGTAAACAACGCTTGCGTTGTGTTTCGTCACGTGAGTGAGGTTACCGGAAGGCTAATTACCCCTCCCCCCCATTTCCAATCCCTGAATCCCCATCAATCCTCAAATTCCTAATTCCAAAAAACCAGTAACGCACCATCAGGTGATCCATCTGTTCGTTTACCGGCTTATTCCATAAAAAAAGCACTTGTACCTACTCTAAGAAGTCGAGGTTGCAACCAGGATATTTTTAGTGTAAATCGTAGGTCTTAGTAGTCTTGTGGCACATTCAAATTTTACTTTGGTAACTAGTTCCTTATTTTGATGACCATAACAACTAACACGACAAACATAATTTATTAGTCCTAAATTCACACACAGTAACAATTTCCGTTAATACACTATTGTACCAAGAAATTCGAACTCATGAACTGGACTGTCCTAGATACAATACCTTAGGTAAGTAGATAACTTCTCCTCATCGAGGAACAAAACTCAGCGTTCTAGTCAGTTCCTAGTAGTCAAATAATAACTAAAGCAGTCAGGATCGATGACAGAGCGGGAACATTCATCTCATGCAGGGGTTCCCAAGCTTTTCTTGGTCAAGGACTACTAGTAGGTAAGGGACCACTTTGACTATTACTTTTGCCATATCTTCCTACATTAAGATTTTCTTCAGAGTTGTAACATTTTCATAAAATAAATAAAAAGTGACTTTGATCATAGGAATCAAATGCTTCTTTTAGTTATCTCCTTTGACAGATTTAACCCTTGGAGGATATTGGAAAAAGGTGTAGGTGTTACCTTGCGTTTTCTTTGTTTTTTTTTTATTTCGAGGACCATTTATTTTGTATTCTGCGGACCAACTATTGGGAGCCACTGATCTAATGTCATCGTATTTAAAGATGGCGGCAATCAAGTCTAGACCAGACCCATCGCCCACGGGCCCCGTAAGATCGTAATGGCGGACTTCCCTTCCCGGAAATGCGTCATACAGTCTTTTTTTTAAGCACGTCGAATAATATAGGTTCCATCATCTGTTATCATTGATTGGAGCTCACATTAACAATGTTTGATTAATACTTAAAGAGATTAGTAAAGTAGGTCCTTCATACCAAATCTAAATTCAGTTTATTATTTCTGATTCTAAATAAAAATTGATCAACCTGTGAACATTTGCAATCTAATAACAGTGGCTAATTTCCTAAACAAAATCGCACGCGTATCGGTGTTTTATCGCTTGCAATGTGTTTTCGATGGTCAAACTTTGTAACACTGAATCTATGGCACGATTTATTTGACAAGGAAAATTATTACACAAACTGGTTCTTATATCTATATTTATTGTTATCTCAGTTTAATTAATCAGTTTAATTAACCTAGATATAGTGAGAGTTTCTGGAAATGGTTCAATGGTAATCGCAGTTTGTTTTCCCAAATCTGCCACTCCCAATCTGTATCAGAAGGTCGCCCCATATTAATTTTATGATCGTATTTAGATAAACGAAGTTATTTTTTCTCTAGTCAATACTGCTGACGACTAAAGAGTAAAAAGAAAAGCACCCACGCAAGGTATCGTCATTCGAGAGGTCACAAACTCAATTGCAGAAGTCTCGGGTTCGATTCTCTGATCCCTCACTTGGTTTGGGACTGTGTTCGGTGTGTATGAACAGAAAAGTCCTGATGAAAAAGTGGATGCTTAATTTATGAGTAATTTTGCCTATCCCTTCAGAGGTTAAAAATGCGTGACATTAACATATAGGTAGCCATATAGGTAGGTACTTACCTAAAGACTATCAAAGTTCTATTTTAAGTGGGTAGAAAATGTGCCCGCAGTCTTACCGGCGCCAGTGTTCCTTACCGGCAGTATTTAGTAATGCATTTTCTCGTATAATTATGCGAGGAGCTTCCTTTAACACCTACCTACCGCTATGCTACAGTTCATAAGAAGATATGCACAAAATTTCGAGCCTAAAATTAATCGGGACCGAGATCGGCACGTCGGAATCATCTTTTAATTTAGTCCTCTGAATAACTGAACAAAAAAGTTTGTATTTAAGTAGCAACGCAGCACTCAGTTGACCTCCCCTCCCTCCCTCATTTGTGACACATGATTCATGGCTCGCAGTCGAATGAGGGAGCGGAATATTTTTTTAATTTTTCATCTTTTGACTCGCATGCTTAATATTAATTACATGTCTTTGTTGCTAGTTTATACAAGTGCATGCTTTTCTTTGAGAGCCAGGATGTTAGTGGGTCGATCTATTTAGACCGCCATAGTAGGTAATTTAACAATTTTAATTCTAACCATGGATTCTAGCATAGCCAAGCATGTAGCTATATAGTAATAGACCCCACAAAGTCGTATAAATGAAAACAATCACATAAACAGTGGAATGTTAATTATAAAAGTAACAATAAGGAGACTTTATTGTTATACGGACGCCCTTTATCTTGCTTAACTTAATCAAGCCTGGGTCCACTCAATTTATTTACATACGATCAATGACGTCATCAATTTAGACATATTTCCTTCATTATTTTGTTTTTAAAACGATAGCTTGAATGTTGTGAATCATCGCAACACGTATAAAGTATTATTATTGTACCCGTGGCACCGCGAGAGTGCCATCGCCACTCCGACAGTCCGACCACACCACCCCCGGCTCGCACGCCCGTACACAACTTCTGTCTGCTCGCCTCAGTCGCGTTTTGTCGTCGCTGAACAGTGCACGGACCGTCGCCTTTCTTTCTCCACATCAAAAAACACTTGGTAAGTTACACTTTTATTTTAACCGGTTTTTTACTAAATCGTCGAAAAATTTCATTCATTTTTTATTCCAATAAAAAAAATGTGAGCAACGATTCAACTTTACGTAGTTTTACATGATTATCGAACGGTTTGCGGAGTCCCTCCCTCGGGAACCGGCGATCGGATGTATAGTGGAGGTGGTGTAGCGGCATCGCGTACTCATTGATCAGGAATTCCTTTTGAACAGTTTGTGCCAGTATGATGAATCGAATTGGAAATAAAATCATGTTTTCTGGTTATCGAAATCTTTGTTTGACACTTGGAATGGGAGCGGTTATATGACTTCATTCTTTTATCGTGCGGTGCTATTCTGTTTATAAAGCAAACGTCGCGCATTTTTGATTGTTCGATTATAGTTTTGTTCTGAAATCCGTTAAGCGAGTAATTTGATGTCTTTGATGTCCTTATTACGCTCCTACATGGATTGGATTGTTGTTTTGCCGGTGTATGTGGTGATAAATATAAATTTATTGGTTTTCCTTCCTACCTACACTGTTAATTAACAATGCTCCGTAACTACACAGATTTGCCTTAATGTTTTAACAATGCCTGGGACCTTTGATATATTTTAAAGCCATATTTATAGATTGTAAATTGATTTTATTTTCCTTCTTTGTTTACAACAGCCAGTACAACGGCACGATATTACGGAAAATAATGTTGACAAATCAGGGGAATGGTGTCATGCTTATTAAAATTACAAAGATACTTTCTGAGGGTTGTATGGAAGTAAGAGGGCGTTACAACAAAGGCTCTTGCTTAGAGCTTCGATATCAAATCGTAAAATTGGTATTTGTTGATCCAACGACCGGCTTTTCTACCGGGAAGTTAATCGTAATAAATTTTTCGTGAAAAACGTTTTGAAAACGAAAAAACCAAGAGAAACAACAGAATTAACCGTTCGGTTATGGTTCGTTTAACATCATGCGATATTATGTTAATAAATACAATTAACCCGTCTCGCTAACTAAATCGTGTGTCGTGTCGTTCAACTTGAGACTCAAAAATTTTATACTTATGGTCGAGAGTTCACAGATGAGGAGAATGATTCATAAAGGCATCCTTTTTTATGGAAAAGGCGTACCTAAGTACTCGACAACTTGAGCATTTGATACAATCTAGCATTGTCATGTAACTGTCTACAAGACTGACACACTAAAGGCTCACAGTTTATGGAGGCCCTTAGGCTTAACAGAAGCCATTGACGAGTGTTAATGAACTCAAGTTTTGTATCAGCCGGCCGCTAAATATAGAAATCTGACTAATGCACAACACATGCTTGACACAACCAATAACCGACCGTTGATGTTTTGAATAATATATCGTTTACTGATATTAAATTCTGAAGCTTCAACCTTGTTCAGAAATCAGATACATAATAAAGGACTATTGGATTGACGAAAATGCCTCCATTTTTTCCTAGCTGTCAAATGTTTTTTTTAATTCAAGACAACTGTTTGTTCAGCCTATCGCCTATTTTTTCAGCTTGATAGTGGGACACACTATCAAGTTGAAAAAAATGCACGGTAGTCATAAACCACGATTGATAATTGTAAAAGAGTTAACCGGTTCGTGTGAACGCTGGGACTTTCGCCGCTTTCACGCATCATAGAGTTGAACGGTAATCATTGACGAAATCTATAATTAGTACACACGCTAATACAAACTCGTAATTGTTTTATGTCATCACATATAGGAAGTAACACCTAGCTAGAATATTGTCTGCAGAACCTGTTTGTGTGTTATCAATGTTTCATTGATTTATTGTTTGTTCATCTCTGTTAGTAGGTAATTTTTGAAGCAAGTATAGTGTTAAATTCTTCTGTAAAACGCAACAAATAATTATCATTTTTTTCCTGTTATTGTTTCAATTCAAATTAAAACGTTTTTCAACCGAAAATGTGAATCATTGGTTGAGTGTCTATTGGTTTGATCCTGCTGGTTGTGCTCGAAACATTTCCTTGTCTGTATCTACATGTAGGTATGTACCTATAACTCAGCTCAATACTTCCAATGTACTTGTACATGTACATTGTACATGAATGCAAGTGCGTTGGTTCGTAATGAAATCTGTCCAGACAGGCCACTGCCTCATGTGCAAAAGAGAGGGGAATGCAGACAGACCTATGTGCTAGAAAGAGAGGAAATAACTTCCCGAATACGCGAATCGATTGCCGGGAGACCAAACGACGCGTCGCACCCCTAATGCCTAACTGTTAGTTAGGGTTGTCTGCGAGGGGCTTAATCGAGTTAGTACTCAATTCTGTTGGGAGGAAGATGGGATAAACACTTGTGTAAATTGTTATTACCTTTGTTGTCAGCTGTATCGTGTTTAAATATTAATAAAGTTATCACATAAATGTAACGAGGTAACATTTGTGGGTTTGCCAAATTGAAGTGCGAGAAAATGAAAGAGTTTTGAATTGATGTAACCACGTGGTCTTGAAAGTCTTATAAAAATTCTAGATTATTTTCGCTTAAATATTTTACTTAGTTTCGTAGGTTGAGTCTAAAACTGCGTATAGGAAAGCTAAAAACGGAAGTAAGTTAGTAAGTAGCTACCTATCGGCTAAAATTTTGCGAGGGTGGCAGTGGCAACCTTTCTGTCCCCCGGCGACGCATATATTATGAAGCCCTAGGTACCCTGTGTTGGTTTATAGATCAATAAACGGCGAGGGGAACCACATCGGGACGTGCTACGACTGCCCACCCAAGTTATAATAAAAAAGATACGCAATTTTACCCAACGAAAGAAGTCTGAAACTCAGAAAATCTTATTCCCTAACGTTTTCCATTTATTGCTCCCCAAATTGAGCAATGAAATTGTTAGTTTGCTTAGTTTTTTGTTAGTTAATTAATTACGTTTAGCGAGAGGTGATTCTAAATTAATCTGGTGCATACCGAAAGATTAAGATCAAGTAAAAAATGTGGCGCACAGACATTACGCCGTGGCTTGGCTTCCTCACCCATCCGTGAGATGCTTACACTTGAAAATCTCTTAATTGCCAATGCTGGACCGCTGGCTTGACGCTCCATAAAATTTGAGACGTATCTCGGATATATACGCTCTAGCTTAGACGAGGTCAATGACACCGGCGCGGTAATTCACACCTTATTTGAATTTTAGACCATTTTATTATTACTAATTAGTCACCTTAATTGCGATGACTCTGAATTTATTCCAGACGAATTTATTATCCATGCATCAGCTTGCTTTAGATAAATCTAGAGCATTATTATATTATGGTAATTTATACAAATAAATATGCGCGTTTGCTGAATTCGTTTTGTGTGTTAAAGAAAATAGCGTTATTTTTCTTTTTACCAATTTTATATTATACAACGCCCATATAAAAACATTAACTTGATTTAGTATTTAGATCTAACTGCACTTATATTTGGCATAGACAAATATATACGGTGCCCTTGGCATATTAAGTCGAGGGCCCGCCAGCGTGCGCCCTTGCCCTACGCGAGGGTGACAAACTGCACCATAAATACTCAGCCTGCTATTATAAAGACAGTTTACACACCAAAAAAGTATTAGTAATCCTTTAACGTTCAGCAGACATCTTAATGGCCTATGAAAATAATCATAATTTACTGTTTTGGTTATTTATGTTGACATGTTTATGGAAGTAAGATATGTACCTAAGTACCTTACTTATAAATTAGATTATTCTCAACTATACCTTCATAAACATGTTTGAAATTATTCAAGTTGCTATCTGAAACTTTATTTATAAAATTCTTAATAGTCCCCCCGTTTAAAAGTTTTGCCATTCAATCAATTTATGCCAATTAATCTTATCTTTTGAAACATACGAACACTAATTGGATTTTCAAGCTTTTCTAATAACGACTGAACGTTGCGTACCCCAAGGGGGGAGTAATTGACATGAAGAGAGCTTTGCAGTTTTAATTAATGACTTCGTCAAAGAAAATGGAAAGCCGAGGTTCTATTGGATACTTAACGTTTACAAGTGCAGTGAAACGGACGGATTTTATGTCGAGTCGAGGGAGTAGAGATCGGAATGACAGATGACATTTCAATTTCAAAATGGCGTCTTGTTAATCAGACGTTGATTTCAAAAAGTTTAACCTGTCACAAGCATGTTACTCCAGTTTATTTGTCTAGTATGCAGACATTATTTGTCTAATCTAAAAGAAACCATCTGCATGTTACATCTTTTGTGATGAGAAAGCTAAAAATAGATCTAGCTTACTATACAGATCATAATAAAACGTGTCGTGCCATCAGCTATCATATTAAGAACAATTTTCTCGACACACATTCTTGTTAAAGGTGACCTTTGTGAAAATAATCCTTGATAAAAACATTTGAGACAAAATCTAAATATAAAAATAAAATATCGGATAACATTCAGGTGCTGCGCTGTAGTGTACCTATAAGTAGGTAACATTCATGGCTGCAGAGACCTGCGTAACTTGTAGTGTCGTAGTACTACAGGACTGGTTCCACTATAATCTGTTAGCGACGTGGAATACCTTGGCATACACGCGTACAATGAAAGTAGCGACTGTAAAGATCCAGTGTGACGGTGAGTCACGACTCGTCCAACAATGCAGGCCGCACAATGCTGTATCGATTGTTTCACTCTACTACACTGAGGAAATGTTCGTAATTCAATTACATAACTTCGGTCAAGATTTGCGTGCCTAGACTGCCTTAGATTCTTACACGACAGAAGCAAATTTTTGATCAGAAAAGACGTTCCAATCGTACACTTCATGCTGCGCTACTTTGGACAAAGAAAAAACTTATCGCAAGAAAATGTAGGTACCAAAATATTTATAAATATCCATGAGAAGCTCTAGTCTAGATAAAGTAGGACTAACACTGAAATATAGTCTAGCACTAGTTAAACAACATGATTCAACGAAAACTAGGAACATCACTTAGGTAGGTGATTTTGCTTTGAACATTATTAAATTGTGCG